ATCAAGGGCGAAAAGAACATCGCGCTGATGCGTTGTCGAGACTTACATCTCCAACAATGATGGTTCTTCAGAACAGATGGAAGCCAGCGAGATCGCTGAGCTCATGGCTGCAGACGAAGAGGACTTCCCTAGCGAGTTCCTCTCTCGTTCCCCGAGATCGAACATCGTCAAGGACGACAACGATATCAAGAAACTCCTCAGGGACAAGCCAAACGACTACAAGAAGCAATCTTTGCCCAGAGGGGATAAGTCTTACGACTTAGTAGTCAAAGACGACAAAATCGTCGTACCTAAGACTATGCAGAAGAAGCTAGTGAATGGTACATGGTGTACTGATGCATCCTGGCGAGATCGCACAGAACTGACCATCAGCCAACACTACACCTGGAAAGGACTGCGCAAGACTGTGCAGGCCTATGTCAGCGTTGCCAGATGCCAGATGACAAACCCAAGACGCGTAAGCTGGGATTGATGCCTCCAAGACTTGCGAGGAGATCCCTTGGGAAAGACTATGTATTGACTGATAGGTCCTACAACGTGGGGATCCTAAGAAAAAGAATTCCTGTACACTTCATTGCTTTACAATGATTGATCCCGTAACCGGATGGTTCGAGATTGCAGAGATCTGCTCCAGCAGCAGACAAGTAGCCATCTCCTAGAACAAACGTGGCTTACTCGGTATCCGTGGCCTGCTGAGGTTTTCATGGATAGAGGACGTGACTCTCCGGGATGAATATGGACTTCATCGCAAGTTCATAACTACGCGTAACCCTCAAGCCCACTCTATGGTCGAGCGTGCTCATCAACCATACGCAACTTGATCGCTGTTCAAAATCAAGTGCCAAGACGACCTTGTGAATGGATCCTTGGATGGAGTCCTCACGGCGGTTCGCTTTGCAATGATGCCACGATTCATACCACCTTGCGTGCAACGCCCGACGGCTCGTGTTCAATCGTGACGCGATTACAACGTCCGGTTCGAAGCCAACTGGAAGTACTCAAGGACGTCGCCAACGACTAATCCAACAAACAACGATAGGGAAAAACGCGACGCGTGTCCCTCATCAATACAATGTCAACGATACCTGATGATTCAACAGTATCAGCACCGCAAAGTACGGTCAGCCAAGTACAAAGGTCCTTACACTATAGACCGAGTACATGACAATGGCACTGTACGGCTCACATGCTAACGCCAATGGCGGCACAGTCTACCAGACTTTGAACATAAGGTATATACCCATACAAGGCCTGATCCCCTTGTAGGATTGCCATCGTGCGACGCACATGTCTACATCCAAATCTCATGAGAGTGCCCCGCACATTAAATCATATGTTCTCCTTGTCCGACTGCTGTCGCGCCTTCTGTGACCCTTGTCAGGGGGCGAATGCAATACACGGCTCTTAGCCTTATTCGCGACTCGATCCTAGATAGGGTTTGAGTTCGACTCATGACTGAGTTTCTCGTGAATAGTCATCTGAGACAGGGTTCTCAATGACCGCTCTAGTCATACTAGGTTGATGATGAAACATCGCTCTAGATATTTAGCCAGCGTGGAGTACTTCCACGCTACTAGATCCATGCTAGACAAATCTTCCACGCGTTCCGTTTTAGGATCGTGGAGATACGTAGGATTACTACCGCAACCTACTCTATCACACTTTATAGTCTCCCGCGGGAGACTAGATCTACGATCCCTTGATGATGATCTCTCTCGTTGATTAGTTTTCATAGCTTTCTAATCTCTCTCATAACTTTCATTCTCTCAAACTCAAAACACTCGAAAGATCTTTACACTAGCTTTTAGCGTAGTGCATCAAGATCTGGAGCAGGATTATTAATTAATAGGTAAAGGAGTTGGGTAGGGTGATTTGTCCCTCACAAATTTTCACTTAGGCTAAGTGTGTGTAAATCCGCTTAGGCTAAATGGATTTACGTGAATCACTTAGACTAAGTGTTCTACTTAGCTAGCCTAAGCAAAACACTTTGGCTAAGCGATACACTTAGGCTAAATGATGCTCTCCGAGACATCTTCTCAACAGCACAAGTCCCTGCAGCTTGTTGTCTATACACAAACTCTGTATTACTGCTGATCCTCATTCACAATAGTAACTATATTGCCAGCAAGTGCTTTGGGGCTATGCAATGAGGGAATGGCGGCCACACCAAATGCACAACTAATGACCAACAACTCTCAGATGGTAGGCAAATACACTGAACATGTATTTGGAAACATCGGGAACATCTAGATTTTGCAAGAAAGCAACATCATTTGTACATCGGAATGGTACAACTGTACCCACAACTCCTGAGGAGTACTTTCGGACTTCCAGATGCCCTGGAACCGTAATAATTCTCAATCGTCCAGAGTCGAGCTTGGCACTTTTTTGTTGTTGCGTATTTACATTATGGCCAAGGGTGGAAGCCAGATTAATAGTATGCTGCCATGGATGGATGGTACCATCCTCCAGGGAAGTTGCAACCTGAATCTGAATCTCTGTTGTAACCCAATTAAACTCTTTCTTGTGAAGCTCTTTGAGCAGTTCACAGGAAGCTGAAAGTGGGGGCATGATGGGTGATAGTTGTGTCTCGTTGTGTCTGTGTGTGTGCTTGCTGCAGGGACTTGTGTTGTGCTGTTGAGGAGACTTGTGCTATTGAGGAGATGCCTCGGAGAGCATCACTTAGCCTAAGTGTTTCACTTAGCCTAAGTGTTTCGCTTAGCCTAAGTGAGTTGCTTTGTATGGCTTAGCCTAAGTTTATTGCTTAGCCTAAGCGTATTGCTTAGGCTAAGTAAAACACTTAGCCTAACTGGATTTTCGAGCACTTAGCCTAAGTGAAAATTTGTGAGGGACAAATCACGCTACCCACAAGTAGACTACCTTTCTGTTTTCAATGACCTCATGGTCTCCCCAGTGGGTCACCAATATTCTCCAGATTTCCAAGTACCCCTGCATACTAGCTAGTACCTCCATAATGCCCCAGGCAAAAGTTTTTTCAAGTTTCCATGGCAGCATGGGGATATTTAGGTGCAGGTACCCGACGTGCACCGAAGAGAATTATGGCAATGTTTCTTCGGGATGCTTGCATTGCTCTCCCAGTAACTAAAAGGCCGGTCTCTACCGGAGCGACTAAAGTAGCGACTAAAGGAATCCTTTAGGTGGTTGTTTAGTTCAAGATTTAGTCATTATCCTTTAGTAATGGTGGTGTCTACCAGCAGATGACTAAATCTCGGACTAAACAATTTAGTCGAGTTTTTAGTCAAAACGTGGTATCTACCGTGGCGACTAAACAAACACCGCGACTAAATCCATTGCAGGGTGCTGGACTTAAAGGACTCAAAAAAGATTTAACAAAAGTGATCACTTGGTGGGCTACCAATATTCTATCAGCATGGTGGATTTAAAGGACTCAAACAAAGACTTAACAGAAGTGATTACTTTTTGAGATAACAAGACTGAGATAACAAGACTCAAAACACACCTCTCCTCTGTCATCGTTTGCACCTCTACTATCATTCAGTCAAAGGCCGAGAAATGAAAGCCATCCCGCACTCCATACTCTGCAATGAGGATGGCTTTCTATTCTCAACCGAAGACTGTCGGCTTGATAAAGGGTAAGTGCGATAGAGGTGCGGCTGATACTCCTCTTCGATCGTTCGATCGTTCGATCGTTCGATCGCACTCTACTTCATTGGTCGTTCGATCCTTTGCACCTCTACGATACTCCTCTTCGATCGTTCGATCGGTTGCACCTCTACTCTATCAGCTCTGTCGCGATGCTTGATAGTGAGGCTGTGCAATGAGGGGCTGTTCTTTTTTCAAAGTGCTGTTCTAAAAGTGCTGTTCTTTTTTTAAAGAGTTCTTAAACAAGCTTTAGTCCTTACGCTCGTTCACCGACTAACCGGAGGCTGGTTAGTCGGTGAAGGAGCATAAGGACTAAAGGCTTTAGTCCGTACAACGTTTAGTCCCTATGGTAGACACCACCCACAGAGACTAAACTATCGACTAAACTATGAAATATGGCTTAGTCGCTACTTTAGTCGCTCTGGTAGAGACCGGCCTAAAAGCTTTTTAATTATTATCAGGCAGTTTTTATAGTCGCTTTGTCTGAGTGACAGTCGAGTCACCGCTCAAGACCGAATGATTTGATCGATTCGATTCGATTCGATTCATCAGGGTCGATTGGCTTGGCTGCGATGCCGACTAGCTAGTAAGCAGAACAGCAGCGATCAGTGTCAATCAATGCTCAGCGTAATGCCATGTTTCAGGTTCACAGTCCATCTCCTTTATAGCACCGATCCAAAGATGAGCACAGAAAGTCGCTTCCTTATCATGCTCGAGAAGTCATGGATACTGCTTTACGGTATTGTTACTAGCTAGTAGATCTAGCTAGCTGCTACCAAATGAAGTTCTCGAGTAGCCAAGATGGATCTTTCTCAGAAGATTCCATTGACTCGAACAGATTGCTCACAATTCCATTTCCTGGAATCCGAAAGAGCTCACAAAAGCAAAAGTTAGACCTGGAAGAAATCGCAGCCACCTACCAACCTTCTACAGTATCTATTCCATCCACCCATCACCCAACCACCAACGAAAAGAGAAACACGCAAAAACAGAAAACACAGAAAACACAAAAATCAGGGGGGGGGGGGGGGGGAAAATGAAACGTCTCCTTTCCCAAGGCCGCCTTGGTCATTTGTCTGACTGTGTTGCACGGTACCGTTGTGCATGCCTTGGACTTGTGCAGCACCTGCGAGGAGGTGGTGGTTTCCGAAAATCACTTTGGCGTAACATCGCAGGCCAGAGTGACCTTGGAAGCATATTGTCCCAAAGGCCATGAGTTGGATGGCTTGGAATGCCTCAACGACAATGATGCCTTTTTTCTCTTCGCACCAGTGGTCTTCGAGGAAACTTCCGGTGACTTCAGGACTGGAATTAGGTGTGAAGCCCAAGCACCAATTTTGCGTACTTGGCCTTCACAAGAATATCTTAATGTCACCATGACCAACAGGATTTCTTGTTTCATCCCAACCGAGCGTCCTAGTGAAGGCCCAACCATGGAACCAAGTCCTTCACCCAGCAGCAGCCCCAGCATTACACCAAGTGAATCCCCTACTAGTACACCAAGTTCTTCACCCAGCAGCCCCAGCACAGCACCAACAGAATCTCCAAACGCACCGGTATCCTCGGCTCCTACTGGCACTCCAACGCATTTTCGTTGTCTGCAAGAAACTGTGGCTTCGCATGATGCCATCTTTTCAGTCACGACTGCAACCGAACTCAGTCAAATTACAGGTGCGTCCTTGGACGTCGCCAATAACTGCAACGGTGTCGAAGATGCTGGGTGCCTTCCTCGTGTTGACATCCAGATTCCCAGTGACACTGAAATTGTGTGCGACGAAGCAACACCCATCATTGAATTACTACATGTCCCCTGTATCTTTGTCACTGGAGGTTTCATCACCAACAGCTGCCAAATTCAAGTCGGAGCTGACAACCAGAACCCCCCCTCTGCAGTGTTCTTTCAAGATATGGTTGTGAAGGGCAACGTCAATATCACTGTCTTGGATCCAGGAGCGTTGTTACTCTACACAATGTCGACTTCTTCGTCAATAAACCCATTTATTGCGAGGGCAAACGGGGACAAGCGCAGAACGATGATCAGATAATGGTATTGGAGGACTTCGACCCCGATGCCTATGAGTGCGATTATTTGGACGCCGCGTCCATTGTCGAACCTCCGACTCAGGCTAGGTTGGCAGGATCTACTACCTTATTCTATGAAACATTGGAGGACTTCGAAAGTGACCGAGACAAGAATGGTCTAAACTTGATCTCTAGCATTGAGGATTCAGTGTCGGTAGTTTTTGGAAGCTCTGATAAACTTCGTTTGGAGTCCCTCACGCACTCCCAGCTCGCAAACTCCAGCAACACTTTGGTGTTACAGATCGTGACCAGGACTAAGAATGCGGATGTCAAGGTTGGAACAGATCTTTACGATGGCCCACTTGGAACGCAAACAACCCATGGAGTGGATGTTATTCTCTCTTCTGGTTTCTTTTCTGATTTGAGGTTCCCCAGTCACATCTTCCTTCAGTCAGACGATGCTTGTGTTTCTTCGATTACGTTGAAGTTGGATCAGAACGTCGTGGCATCCAAAGACTTGGCAGACTTCGCCTCGTGCTCGAAAGAGTTCGCTGTGGATTACAACGAGGAACTCCAGTAAGTGTTCTATCTCTGTTTTCACCCGACAACCTCGCAACAATAGACCGAATCGACTTCTCACATACATGCTTTCGATTTCGTTTCCTCTACTAGGTGCATTCGCCTCAGTTCAACGTATCTCAAGGACTTTGCCTTGGATCTCATGCAGAAGAAAGCCGATAAGTTTTGTAGCCAAGTTTCATTGAGGCGAGATCCAAGCTACATGGAAGCTCTCACGTTCCAAGTTGAAGGACTTGAATTGGAAGGGATCACTTTTGTTGACTCACAGGATGAATTGAGGCTCACACCTGGAGACGGTTTGGATAGCAAACCTAGGCTTCCAGTCTTCCCAGTTGCTAGGTCACAAAACGAGTCCCAATTAGTCGACAATCCGATCTTGTCCAAGATCCGAATCATGTCATACGACGTGGTGCTGTTCGAGTGGGACGCCAACAACACCTACCGTTGCCTATCGTCATGCGCGCCCTTTGCGGATCAAGATGGGCTTCTGTTCATGACTGAAGGGTCAAACTCGACTATTGAGAATGGAACGGATTCTCAAGGCCTCATCCTAGTCAGGGATGCCACCTTTGATCTCACTGCAACAGGATGTGACATGTTGACGAAGATGGAACTGGACCAGGGGGTTAGCGGAGAAGAAGAGTGTACACAGGTAGAAGAGCCCGTTGATTCTCTGGGCGAGATCGTCACCTATCTAGAAAGACTTGATGACAATGGGAAGAGGACACTCAAGATTATTCCAACTACCAACGACACTGTGGTGCTCGAAGACCTCCCAAGCTTTGCTGTTCCTTCCTTTGTCCGAGTGCAAATCGATGGATCGAAGTCAGCCATCAGAGTGCAGGATGTCTGTTGAGGTTAGCGAAAATGGACTTCTCGAATTCAATGATATCACCTTTGGAGCGGAAGATGAGAATGCAACAACGGCTCTGGTAAACAGCGGCACAATGGTTCTCGATGGATGCACTCTTCAAAGTGGCGTCGAGATAAAGTCATTGTCTGGCAATCTACGAGTAACCAGCAGCATCATCGAGGCAATCGACATCTCGGTCGAGCAAGGCACGGCAGAGTTCTCGTACGGGAAAATGGAGGCACTTCAAAGCCTTTCAAATGAGGGCTCTTTGTTCTTTCAATCCATGGAAGTAGCGTCATCGGAATTTGCTTTTTACTCTGGAAGTGGAAGTTTTTCGTTGGCTGATGCACAAGGCATGTATTCCTTAGCAGATTCGGGTGTGCTCGAGACGTACTGTAGCTCCAGTTCGGCAACTGATGTGCAACCACAATTGACGAAAGTTAAGGATCTCCAGGAATGTCAAGACCAATGTGATGCCAATGACAAATGCCGTGGTATCTGGTTTGACAGCGAGGGTCTCACATTTGATACAAAATGATGGAACTGCTGTTTGCGGCCTTTGTCTTCCGGGAAGTTGCCACTTTGATTGTGCACTTGAAAGCTCATACGTCTTGAACAAGCAACCCGTTGTGGCATTCACAGCATTGGGACAAGGTTTTTGCCCAGTAGCAACACCAAAGGCCCCAACTACACCTCCAGCCCTGTCAACGGAAGATGCCGAGGCTGGTGCTACACTCTAAGCTTCTGCAATGCCTACACGTTCGATCCTGTCACCAAATTGTGCACGTTTTATGACAACGCTGCAGTTACCCAATGTAACGACTCTCCAGAGAACGCTCTCGTTGTTGATACAAACCACAATGATGCGCTTGGAAGGTTCGTCGAACTTCCAGCTGGATTGTGCTATCCCGAAGACGACAACCGAGAACTTACTAGCATTGGCCAAGGGGTTCAAACATGGCTTGCAACTGCGGCTGACTGTTCTGCGCTCTGTGGTGCCTTGGCAGAATGTTCTGCTTTTGAGATTGATTCTGTTTCTTCGCGTTGTCGATACTTCTCATGGGATGCCGAAGTTCAAGTCTCCTCCAACTGCACCGGCAAAGCTTTCATGTCTGTTCAAGACTCGTCCTTCCCCCTTGGCTTGAGCTCCAGTGTAATGCGTTTTGATTGCAGCGCTGAGCCTTCACTCTCGCAGCTAAAAGTCAATTCAGGAGGTCCTAAAGTCTGCGAAACTCTGTGTAAGTTTATTCTTCCAAGGCTTTGTACGTATTGCAGCTTCAGAAGCGATTCTAACAGCAACCCTTCGTTTGCGTTCTTGTTTCCGAAGGCCATACAAATCCCTTGTGCTTGGCCTACACCTACCAGGGAAGCAGTGCTGGAACTCCGGATTGCTTCTTGTGGAGTGACACGAGTTACCTTGATTGGCTGCTGAACCCTGAACGTTGCGAAGCGTCTTTCGGGGAGACCTATCTCATAACAAAAAGAGTCGATTTTGTCCAAAACGACGACATGATTCTCCCCTGTGACATGGAATCGCCACTGGACGCAGTCGAAGACGCGATTACGCCGGACAACTGCAAGGCTGTTTGCCTACGCACTGTTGGCTGTAGCACGTTCACCTTCAGCTTGGAAGATGGATGTCGTCTCACGTGCCCGGCCACCAACGAAGCTACCGGTTCGAATCAAACTGTTCCTCGGGCCTTCGAGAAAAAAGAGATAAATGTGGAGCTGGGCTATGTGAACTATGTCGGCGTAACAACCTGCATCAACGCACGACACCTACCGGACCGAAAACTGTACACTGCAGTTAGCGAGTCAACATGTCGCTATCTGTGCGACTTGGCAGGTAAGCTGTTGTGTGGCAAGGTTTTCGCCCCGTTCTATATGTTGTGAAAGACGAGTCCTCACCACCATTGTTGTTGCACGATGAAATACAAAGACAGCTGCATGGGGTATTTTGCAAAAACATTTTCAACAGGTGCAAGAAAATGCTCGTTCTTTGAATACGTAGAAACGAGAGAGTGTGAACCAAATGAAAAACCCCGTTATAGAAATTTGGCGTTTCAGGGTAGGCATCTCTCAGAGTTTCATCCTACCCCGTCTTCCGTCAAGATTATTTAGCATGGAGTGTACGTCGATTCAGTACAGTCCCTCTTCTCGCCAATGTACATTGCTAGGTGGAGACAAGGTAGTGTCAACGAATGGGCTTGCATCTGATCCATACGTCATGAGCAAAGTCCCAGTCAATCCATTTGTGAAAGTCCAGTCCTCAGAGACTGTTTGTCCGGATTCAAATGCACTGATGTTGACCCAAGCAGGCATATGGGATGCGGAAGCATGTCAAAGCCTTTGCTTGTCTCATACCCACTGTTCTATTGTCCATCACGACAGTGCAACTGGGATTTGTCACCTTTATGACAGCGAATCATTCTTACAAAGCGACTGTGCTCAGCAACCCACCTCGGAGAGCTCCCTGTATGTCTCCTATCTTCAATTCTTGTTCCGGGATTCCATTTCGTTTGCGTCATTCGGTGCCAGCCAAGGTGAAACGAAAACGCTTTGTGTTTCGGGGGAATCTCCGGCGGCAACTGTCACAGATATTCCATCAGAGGCAGGTTGCGCGTTCTTGTGTGAGGAAACACAACCAGACTGCAATGCATACACCTATGACGAAGGAGAGAAGACGTGCGAGCTCCATCGGAACGACTTTGAATTGTCCAAGTGTGCCTCGCGTTCAACGGTTCTCGGTGTATCCTATAAACGAATGCGGTTCAGAGACTTGGAAGACGAAGAATGCCTTTCTGGGCAAGCAAATCTCATCAACGGCTACTCTGGCATCCACGACTACCCCGAATGTGCTGCTCTATGTGAAGCTTCGTCTGGCTGCCAAGCATTCAAAGTGGAAGGAACAGATTGCGCCCTGTACGACACCTCTGAAACAGGCTCCTGCCCAGGTCTGGGAGCTTCCGAAAAGTCATTTGTTCTTTTCAGCGAAAAGCTTTACACAGGGCTGGGCCATGCATATTGTCCTGCGTTCAATACACCCAAGCAATTGTGCGATGATACTACACGATGCGAAAGTATCCAACACAGAGTCGACGGTGAGTGCGTCCTGCATGCTGGCCGGGATTTTGTCGCTTGCGCGAATAGCGGGAACTCTAAGTCTTCGTATCTCTCGTCGTCGATATTGTTCCAGAAACCATCCAAGATGTTGTCCCTTCCCAGCACATGCCTCGCATATCTGGATGAAGACAGGTGTGTTGGTGGCTGAGGATGAAGACAAATGTGGTCTAGGAGAAGTGTGTGACATCGAACAGGACTGCCAGAGCCCTCTGGTATGCCAACATGCAAGCACTCGCAATGCCGATTTGGGCACGGTAGCAAAAGGTGAAGCGGAATCAACGCCGAAAAAGTTCTGCGTTCTGTCCGACGTGTCTGCTGACGAATCGGACTGCGAGGAGACTTGTTTAGCCAATCCCCAGTGTGTTGGCATCTATCGTCAAGGCAGCGCTTGTTTGGAATTGAGATCGGAAGATCTTAATCGGGTTGAACCATCCACTCATTGTTCTCAAGACTCGGTAGCTCTGCTACCGGTCAAGTTTCGGTAGGTGTTTGCCAGCCTTTTCCATGCATGGCGTATATCGCGAATTGTCCTAACAAATGTCTTGACTAACTGCCACAGAGAAAACCCTTATCAAGAAAAGGAAAAAGCATGCCTAAATAAGCCTTTGAATATGGGGCCGTTCGTGCAGACCGAGCTTGCCGATTGTATCAATATATGCAATAGCTTCTCCCCTTGCCAACACTTCACTCATTCAGCTGATGGAACCTGCTCCCTTTTTGCCTCGCAAGTTGGAGATGTCGGCGAAGATTGTGCGTTACCACAGGGTGTCACAGCCTATGTCAATACAAGGTCTTTCGTTCAGGAGATTGAGTTTATGGGAGTCCCAGAACGAGTTTTCGCACAGGTGCATGCCCTGTCGTATGATGAGTGCGCAGCAAGCTGCAGACGGCTAGACCAATGCCTTGCCTTCGTGAGTATGCCCGCTTCCGGTGCTGTCTGGTTTATCACAAATCAAATGCTCAAACTTTTCCTCTTCTGCACAAAATTGCATGGATAATCGGCAGATTCATGAATCTGGGTGTCGTCAAAGTGGTGCGCTTGCAGATGCAGTCGTGAAGCCAGAAAGGCTCGTGCGCTTGACGCCAAATGGAAATTTCAGAGTTGTAACGTTAAACTTTGACTCCACGACAGACCAACTCGAAGTTCTCGCGAGGGAAGACTTGTCAGTTGGAAATTTCCATGATCAAGTTCTGGCGATCGAGGAGTTTGAGACCGAGGGTCGTGCCCGAATTCGATTTCAACGTGGTGACGTTTGCCTTGATGGAGTGGCCGGCCAGTTCGTCGAGGCCATACCTTGCGCAGATCGGGATGCACAGAATTTCTTGATCACGAATCGCAGTGACGGAGCATTTCCCATTTCACAAACAGGAGGGACACTCACTACCGATACTGGTTGTCTCTTTGCTAACGAGGACGGGAAAATGCGATTCGACATCAGCGGGTGCACTTCGATAAATCTGGCTTCTCGGCCAGTTCGACTGTCTCCAGGTGATGCCAAAGGGCTGTGCCTGACGTCTCAAGGTTCTGGCTCATCGGGCACTATTGGTCTTGCACCATGTGACCCTTCGGATGAAAACCAAAAGTTCACTTATCTATTTGGCACGAAGCGATGGATACAGCAGAAGAAGGTAAGCTGTGCTATCGGTGGTAGTTTGCATTCACACACACACACACACGCTCAACACATCGTGTACATTGGCGCAGGACACGCCAACGGCAGCTCCGAGAGAGTATGACCTCCATGAAAACGCTTGCCCTACCTACCGTTTGGATACAATCTCAGGTGTAGATACAGCAACCTGTGAGGAGCTTTGTACAGCAACGCCGCACTGTATTGGTTACAGGAAGACCAGTGAATGCAGACTCAACCAGCTCGATCCCTTCCAAAGGCATTTGAGCTGCAGCTGGGAGGAAGCAGTCAATGTTCCGGAACAAGACTTTGGCTGCGAAGATACTCCAGCAACTTGATGACCGATCTTTTCCAGCAGGAAAGCGGTACACTAGTTGTCGCAGGCAGCTGCTTTAATGAGCCAGGACAAGGAAACCTGATCGAAGACATGAGAGGGGATTGGGTGGACTGCCAAGCCAGATGCAATGACTTGGAGGAATGCATATGTGAGTAACGCGAGAGAGCACATGTGAACCGAAGGGGCCGGGTGCAGATATTCAATGCTAACTTTGACCGTTTCGTCACTTGCTGCTTCCAGGCTTTGAATATTGCCCACCTGGGAGACAATGTGATCACGCCCGAGACAATGGTGGTTTCTTCGACGTCACAAAATTTGGAGATTCTCAATCTCTTTTTTCTGAAGCTGGGTTTTGCCGTTTGCGCTCTTCCGTAGGGTTAAGCCGCTGTATACCATCAGTGCAAAATTTTGCATACCCAATGATTCGATTCGTTCCGTAAAGGGGATGTTCGAGATGGACTGCCTTTTACACATGTGGATCAGTGTTTAGAGTATGCTCCGAACAATGCGGGGACTGTGGAACTGAGGCTTGGACCTTGCAGCCCTAATGATGCAGGAAAAAGTGACGTTGGATCACAGAACACGATCAAGTTTGGTGAAGATTGCATGGCTTTGTCACAAGATAATGCTTCTGGTGAATCTAATGTGGTGATGGTGCCTTGCGACTCTGATGACCCCCTCCAGAAGTGGCACCAAGATGCCCTCTGCCAGCTTACAACCAGAGAGAGCACACCACCTTTCAAACTAGAGAGTGCCTTTGAGGAGGGCAGATGTCTCGCTATGGACAGAAACATCTTCGATGATTCAGATTGTGGTAGGGAGAACAGCATCACATATAGGGGTGGCGCTCCAGCTGGAACAGCGCATTGTGACACTGCAGATGCAAGTGTGTTTCAATACCACTACAAGCAATCAAAGAAGAAGCCACTTCGATTAGCACAGGCGTTTGCTGGCAGCAAGGGCAAACGCGCACGTCCATCATGTGTTGTGCGAGAAACGCAACCCACAGAAAACGACAACTTCGAAGAGGTTTCTCTGAAATGGGGACGTTGTCATCCCTCCCCTAACCGAAACATGTGGGCTATTAAAAATTTCCTCACAGGAAGCATATTCCAGAGTGCCATAGCGGATGATGAAACCGCGGTGAAAGTGCTCATGTTTCCTTCTCTAGTTGCAACAAAAAAGTTGTTGCAACGGATGCCCCTGCAGATCCTCTGCTTGCGTCTTGGAAGAAGTATGCGATGGGAAATTCCGCAGTTGAGCTTTCATCAAGCCAAGTGCGACGATCCAGGAGATCACTGATCCTGTCTTACAGTTTCAGCTCTTTCTTTTTAGCGGTGAAGGAAAGCGATCTCGGATGCTCCTGGAAAGAGTAAATCTTTTCGCAGAGTTTCCACACCTGTTATCAAGCTTCTTGCGACAGTTTGATGGAATGGTTGAAAAAGTGGGGGTCGGTCTCACCAAAGCAATGTCTTTTACAGTCCCTCTTTCGAGCGGCGCTGAATCAGCCGTTCGGTTCGTCACTGCTGTCGACCCTGCAATCTTGTTGCTCGAGAAACTCCCATATGTTGGCCCAATCTTGAGAAACATTCGGGTGCGGAATATCTTTAAATCGGCCAAGTCGAAAATTAAGAATGGAAAGAAAACTCTGATCCCATTCAATTCTACCGTTGGAATTGGCCACGAAGCAGTGTTGGCACTGCCTGCGAAGATGGCAATCTTCCAAGGTTTCTTGTTCTTGACGGTTTGCCCGAAAAGTTCGACATCCTGGCTGGGCCGCAGTCTTGTACGGCTAACACGTTGTGCATTCGTGGACAAAAACACCCCGCTTCAGGACACCCTCAACGCTGTCACCGACACAGTGATTGATGCAGTTGACAAGGGTTATTCAATTCTTACAACGCTGCGGGGGACTCTGCAAGGATTGAGTGACTTTTGGGATTCTATCGAGAAGACTGTGTTAACGCCAATGGGTGCCGTCAAGAAAACCCTGGACAGCGTGAACAAAATCTTTGGCATGTTCAGTTTTCTGCAAACACTGGCCGAATTTAAGCTCAGGTTCAAGATTCCTATCGTTGGACGAATAGAGTTTGGGCTCCCCGATATCGCGAACTTCTTGGGGAAGATTGAAAGAACCATCAAGAACATTCCCTTCGTTGGTTCGGCCTGGAGAACAGTTGAAAACATCGTGAAATCTGTGCTGAGCGCAATTTCCCCAAAAATCGAGCTTTCCTTGCCATCGTTGGACTTCCTTGACGCCTTGAGCCCTTTTGTCAGGCTGGAAAACACGCTCGACGATATCGTGATTTCTGTATTTGATCGTCTGTCAAATGCGGCTGACGTTGTCGACAACTGGGTTGCCGATCTTGCAGATGGTATTGATATTGGCTCTATCTTCGAAAGGGTGGACCTGGGATTGCCTGGCTCTGATCTGCTAGACGGCTGCGAGGCCGCCGATGAATCTTTCGATTTTTCTTGCTTGTCTGCGATTACGCCAGAAATCCCAGGTGCCCCGACCCAGTTTATCAAAGATGGCATTGACTTGTTCACCGCCGCTAAGGATCAAATTGAAGAGAAGTTCATGGGTCATGCCTTGGCTTTAGGGGACGCCCTAGCAGGGATCGAGTGCAGCAAAAAATCCAAGACAGGGATCCCAGAAGAAGCCACGGAAGAACTCCTAAAGTCCGTTTTCGGTATCGGTGCCGAAAATTGCAAAGAGTGCGCTGCGCTCTTTGACAGCAGTATGCCGACACAATTCGAATACTGCAGTGATTTTAGGATGGATGAAACCAAGGCCAGGGACGTAATGCAGGGTTTGATCCAAGACATGCAGCCTCTGCTTGATGATATGCAGACGCGTTTTGCTGATCTAGGAGCAGCCAACCCGACTGGAAGACAACTCCTCAGCAAAGAGGAGATAGCACAGGAAGGATGGGCTGTCGTATTTTCTCTCACGCTTCCCGCGCATCTTTTGAAATTTTCTGGTGAGGCGGTCGGCGAGGCCTTCGGATTTGCCGCCGACCACAGCAGCAGCATACACATGGCATCAGAGAAAATCGTTCAAGGGAAAGGCGATGTGACGAATGCAATTGATTATATCCTCAAGCAGAGGTTTTCATCTGTTGACAAGGATGTGCCTACGCCTCGTTCAATCAAGCTCAATGCAGCCTCGAAAGAGGTCTTCACTCTGAACTTTGCCATTACGGCAAAAGAAGACGACACGGGTGTGCCAAGGTTTGCTTATCGAATCAGTCTTGGAGCCCGCTTGCAGGTACAACTTGGTTTTGGACTGGATCTAAACTATATCTCGATTGTCAAGCCCAAGTTGGATCTGTACAACAAGGTGCTGGAGAGCACTCTCTCGTTTGACCGCTCCTGCGCGGAATGTGCAGAGCACGTAATCGAAAAGATGATTCCGGCGCTAGACAATTTTGCAAGAAGACTTGCGAGTGAGATACGACTCTTTAACAAGGATGGCCCAATCGAAGAGCTTAGAAAGAGTGGGCTGTTTAAAAATTCGATCCTTAAACCCGTATCAGGTGGGTTCAAACTTGAGGCCAAACCCTTCGACGAAGTGGTGGCACAGGGAAAGAGCCTTGGAGCAGCAAAAATGGCCAAGACAATTGGTGGGATCACGAAAGCCCTAAAGCTGAGCAACCTGATTGAGGAACTCGACGCACTTGACGTCTCCCACAAGCTGCGAAACAGCAATGTGGCTACCGGCGCAGCTACACATGTTGCAAACTACATCAAGAAGAATTTCTTCTTTCAAATTCGAGTGAAGGCTCGAGGGACCCAGTTCCCAGTCCCAGGCGTTCAACTCTTGTACGGTGCACAAGCACAGGTCTCACCTCGGACTTTCAAGCCTCTCAATCCATTGAAGAACAGCTTGGCGTTTCGATACGACGCCTTCCAGAAAAACCCCAGACCCCAAAGACCTGGTAAAGGAGTTCCAAGAGAAAACGAGGAAAAAGGGAAACTTTGCAATCCTGCTCAACCAACCCGAGGCGCCTCAATCCATTGGCGCTACGGCGCATGGTAAGTTCTTTTGGTGGCCACATGCTATGTATGTAGCCCGGTTCCTGGTTTCTAACTTGCCCCATTTCTTTTGTTCGTCCGTTCAGTTGGCCTTGGTTTCAGCATCATGTCGTTTGAACAAGTCACGGGCCCTGATGGCCCAGACTAGCAGAGACCTTTACAGTTTTTGGGCAAGGAAACGTTGACGCCGACGAGTAGACTGTTCCAAACGATCTCGCCCCCTTGAGTTCTCCACAAGTTCTCACAGTGGGCTCCTTTTGACTGACTGAGACTAAAATAAGCTCTATAGCACTACACACTAGAAAAAGGAACGCCATAGGAACGTGATGTACTCGTACCGGTTCCTTCTTTTCTTGTGATGGCTCATGGACGGATCTGTTCGCTAGCTATTCATCAACGAGGCAAAGTGGTGTGTATTTTCAGAATGAGAGTTCCATCACATATCAGCCAAGCAATCATCTGGTGTGACAAACCTCATTTCCCAACCGCTATATTGTCCATGTAGATTCCTTGGCAAGACACAGTGAGACCGTGTTGCCTGGGAGAGACTGCCCGTCTTGGTGGGAACGACATTGCCAAAGTGCTTGCCACCAAGAAGCCGCTACCAACTGGATCAAGAGTCCCTCTGCGTCTCTGTGACATTGTGGATGTACCGGTAGCTGGCCAGTGTCAAGTTCAACGAACAATGACAATACTAGTACATGAGGAGGAGGTCAACAGTGCATTTAAATTTTTTTTGTGGAAGGTGAATTTCTAAAGGTACGAACCGGCATTTTGTGATCTCATACATGCTTTGAAGGCTTATAGTTATACCGTAATTAGTCCCCCATTTTCTCACCCGTGACCTGCCGTACGGTACAGTATCTTTTGCCATCACCTCGGAAGCACGTTCTTCGGCAGCTCGTCGGCACACATTTCTAGGACCACAAACCAAAGATGACAGCACTAGACTACAACACTACTACTACATGTACTTCAGCTCGATACTGATGGGATCTCACTTCCAATCCTATCAGCAGCAGTAGAACCATCGAAACATATCTATGGAAGGAGTAGAGCTGGTGAAGCTTGACCCCATTGCCCTCGGCTCGCAAGAAGAAGAAATAGAAGAACAAAAGAAAGACGAAATAATGACTGCAGAAGAATCTCATCCCATCCAGATACCCTTGTTGCTCAGCAACAACAATAGCAATCATCATGAAGAGACTAGCGTATCATCGTCGTCGTCGTCGATTCATCAGGAAGCAAAACCGTCGTTACCGCTGCCACTCTTGTTGTGCAACAGTGTTTACGGCTTTACCATGTCACTTGCCACGCTCCCCATGATGTACATTATCAATACGCGAGTTCCCTTGCCACTGGCCATTCTTCCCACCTACTATGCCTTGGCATTTTTACCCTTTTCCTTGAAAACCCTCTACGCCTACGTGGCTTGTTTCACAAAAAGACGCCATGGCATGTACGTGGGATGGATTCTCTGGGCGTTGACCAGCAGTGTTGGATGGACACACGTAGCATCGAGTGGTGGCGTGTTTGCCGTGGGAATTGCCAATGGCACCTTTACGGCATGGTCGGGCTTTCTCTTGGGATTGACGTCACTGGACACGGCAAGAGCCCAGTACCAAACCTTTGAGGTTTCCGCGTCTGTCTTTCAAAGTCAAGCATCCACCGCCCGCAATGTGGGTTCCTTCTCGGCGAGTATCATTAGTTGTATTGTGTTTGGAGTGAACCAAACACAGAACAGTGGTGACTGGAACACGGCACTGGTCGATGGAATGTTCTGGGCCACGGGATGCTGCCAGCTAGTTGGCTTGCTGGTGGTGTTGTTGTGTGGACAAGCCTTTGAACCTGCCATGCAAACCACGACCATGCCAGCCACAACCAACGATACTACCGGATGTAGCCAAAGACCTTCGTATTCGGCGTTGGAGGTTCACCAGAGCCAAGACGATGACTTTCAAGACGAAGAAGAAGGCTCCACTACTGGTACCAACAACCCACAATCTTCGTTCTGCAGCATGAACGTTGTCATCATCGTGGCGCTACAAGTATCCATTCTAGTGCTGGCCTTGAGGAAAGAAATTGTAAAGGGACTTGCAGGACACAACAATATTGTTCCCATTTCACTTGGTTTGATTGGGCTCCTTGCCCTGACAGCAGTCGGCTTTTATCGTTGTTCTCGCCAACCAAACCGCGAAGCAGCAACAACAACAACCATGCAAACTTTTCGACAGCGCCTCAGTTGGTCGCACATAGTGGGTGTGGTCTTGATCTTGCGACATGCCGTGCCAAGTACATCCAGCATTTTGAGTTCGTTTGTCTATCATTGCTTTGAAACGCAACCCTTTTGGTTGCAAGTCTTTACGTTGGCGGATACGGGCATGATTACCCTGGCGTCATGGTTGTACCAAAAGTTGTTGGCGCCGCATTACAGCCACGGACGCAAGCTGATCACTCTTTTGGCAATCATGACAGTCATCAAGCATTCCTTACAGAATATGCACCTGTTTGTGGTCCACGCCAAGGACTACACGAGCCCCACGTTCCCGTGGATGGTGCTGGCCATTAAAGGACTCGCGGCTTTTCTCATGGAAGCCAGCTTTCTGCCGAGCTTTGTGTTGGCAACCGTAACGGTATCGGAGACCAAAGCAACCTGGGACAATGCCGACGACACGAGTGAGCATCAACCACTGCCGGACTATGACGACGCAGGACAGCATCAAACAAACAGCAATGAACAAGAAGACAACCCCACATCACGAACAACACCAGCCATCAAAGCATCCACGTCCACCAATCTCATGTACGGAAGCCTTGTTAGTTGCATCGAATTTGGGGATCAAATAGGAGCCATCTTGGCAACTCCCCTTGTCACTGCCTTGAATATCACTCGGGAAAACAACTGGCACAACTTGGACGTCATGATTGAACTCTGCTCTGGCATTGGAGTGTTGTCGGCGGGTATGTTTGTGCTCTTGCTGTGCTACCTCCCCCCTGCCGCACAAAGCAGTCCGCAACGACCGCAAGAAGTTTGACGGATCGAGAGACAACCTCACGGAGAGGAGAATACTTTTGTTCGTGGAGAGGAGAATACTCCATGTTCATAGAGGGAGCGCATCCTGGGACAAGCACTTTATAAGACTACGTAATGCTTTCCAAGGTCCGAACTCTACCCGGTATTCGTAACCAGCTATAAACGTTTCACACTCATAGAGCAACAGATTCCGTTTCTTCATAACTCTTGCTAGCATATTCACATCATTCACGTCAAGTGTGCACCTCGTCCTCGATGTCCTGGCCAAATGTTGGGCTTCCCACCTATCTATGCCATGCTTCAATTCACAGGCTACCTACAATCTACCGGTAGGAGGAGATTTCACAAGAGAAAGTTTATCAATGTCTATTCAACACAAATGCTTTTCAAGCTTCCTGCTCCCTCCAAAGCCATCAGCCCTACCGGGAAGTACTAGCTAGCCTACCAGTACCGTACGATACAATAAAATGAAAAGCGTGCCCATGGCAACATAACATGGGCCGGGCCACAACCATCGAGTTGCTCTGGTATGTACCAGTCTGGTACGGTTCTGGTACCAGTACTGTAGACTCCCAACGACACTCAGTCTTGCCAGGGGAACAGTGCTCCAGATTTGTAAGTCTTTGAGGGTTGACAGCTAATTCATGGAAGGAGGCATTGACCTATTGTCAAAGACCAAGCTTGTAATCTGGTAACTTTCACCTACTTCCAGATTGCTGCTCCCAGATCCTACCATTCTCCTATTCCTTGGCTGGATCAAACAGATCTTCCCACCATCATGAAGCTTCATTCTGTCTTGAAGCCAGAGCACGCGGCTGATCTTGAGAAATCCAACAACGAGGCTCGAGCCCTCACCTTCAAGCACAAAGCTACCGAGGAACTCAAGTACACTGCTGAGCTCGAGAGTCACGCCCTGTTCAAGCGCAACGTGAAGCGCGGCCGTGCGTCCGACAGCGCCAAGGGCAACTCCGACGCTTGGTTGGCCCATTGCACTAGTTACTTTGCTTTTTTCCTTGTAGGCTTCCATGTCGAACTCTATTTCGTACAGTGATTCCTCTTCTGAACTTCTGAAGTGACGGGTGCAACATCATCCATACCCCCTTTGACTAATATCCTTCCATTGATACCCACGAGAGCGCCCATGAGTTTTAAGTTAGGGTCCGTCAGTGCCTCATGGACTGTCCCTCCGAGGACACCTGCATACAAAGAGAGACACCATCAGAGATGATTTCGCCACGCTAAAGGAGAATGGAAATGAGTTACCTGAATGCAAATTTTCCGTATCGTCACCGGATACTCGCATCTTGAATTGGGTGCTTGGGGATGGAGTAGAATATTGTGGTTAGCGGCCAAATATCTCAAATCTTGCATTCATCATGCTCGTGGAGAACTCAACAAACAGAAGAAGGCAAACAAAACTAGTTACTCAGTACAAAATTCAATCTACGAGCTTGTGCCGTCAACTCTGGTTTTTCTTGATTTGAGAGAGGTTATGGAATGACGCAGCTTCAATTGGCCGACCTGTGCAACAGGACCACCCATCCCGCCTCCGCATTCGATTCCACTTAAAACCTCAGCAGAGAGGAGCTAGTATCCAGCAAAAGCGCATGCGCATTTTAAAATTAAACAACATCTCATCTGAACCCACCGAACAACGACATCTGTTGCGTCTCGGTTTGGCAATCGCACAAACCAGTTCAGCCTTTTAGCGGTTCATCCTCTTCGCACGTTTCTATTAATCCTGCACGCATGCCATTCGTGAATTCGACTGGGGGAAGTCGCCACTACTAGTATGATGTACCACCAGGTACGATGTACGATACCAGTACCGGTACCTAAACTTACTTAGTCCAGTCACTTTTTGCTAAAATCGGATGCCGTGGCTGTTCTCAATTGAACGAATAATGGGGTCTAGCTAGAGTACTAGCTAGCTAGTACCGGTATGGAAGTTAACAACCATCAGGCTATGTTGGACGCCACGAAGCACGGAAGCAAGCAACGAGAATCGAATTATTCAGAGCGTACCGGTGCCGGTAGGGTGCCGGGAGTGGTGCAAATTTAAAAATAATCAACTCCGCTCCACTGTCTGTACATTCCTAGAATAGCTGCAACCAGCTTTTCAATGGTCAATTGACTACCACTATGGTCTCATCCCCCCCAAAATTAAAAGTGGTCGCATGCGGTAAAGAGTGGTCGAAGGTGGTAAAGAGCGGTTGAAGGTGCTAAGAAAAAAGGTGGTTGAAGTTGGTTGATGGTATCTTCTGAAGATGAGAGATCACCAGAAAACCTGAAGGGCAATATTGTGGTTGCAAGTCTCAAAAATTGGTCGATTGATCATTCGATTCCTCCCAGTTGCTCAGCTGCAAGTGATCTTGCTCAACCAAGCGAGGATGCCCACCGGTAAGATGACATTGTATTGTCCTCGATTGGCTTAGCTGCGACACTGCGACTGCTCAACACTGCGTACCTTGGTTGTTTTGAAGGAGATCATGGCAGAGGAGATCATGGCAGAGCTATATAAATCTGCTAGAAAAAACTCAACGCGTCGGGCGCCTCCACACGACAGATCACGATCCGTACCGGTACATATACCGGTACCAATGGATTTGTTTTCTTCCGACGAAGGGGATTTCGGACATACGATTCAAAATGATTCTCACCTGAACAGTTCAAGCGATTGGCACTTCTACCAGTCGCATCGCAATGTTGTGGACAATTTCATAGCAGCAGTTTGTGGAAAAGCAACGAAGGTGGAGCTGGGAAACCTAATTGCTGCATCTGACGATTTGGTTGCTTGTCGGGGGGCTTACAGTAACAGCGAGTCAGGCCTAGTCAATCGAATGAGCTACAAGCACGAAAATGATGGCCGGTCGCCTCTCAGCTATGCCGCTGCCAAGAACCTCTACCAGCAGGTCTACGACCTGATCGACCTTGGAGCCGAGGTGAGCAAAACGATGCCAGCTCGTAACGGCTGGGGCGCAGTACCGAAGACAGCATTTGTCATCGCCGCCACCAACCCCAAGAGAGATGGGACTGAGATGGTCCGAATCTTATTGTCTAAAGGTGCTAGCCCTAAAGAGCTCGAAGCTGCACGTGTTGACGAGACAATTCTTGGCAGGGGCATGAAATATTGGATTGAAAAAGCCCGTAGGGTTGGTGTTCCCTCTGAGTTGAAGCGTCGCCACATGGCTCATCTTTCACCCATGGATCGTATTCATGAACTTGATTACAGTGTCGTTGGCGAGGAAGCAGCTGTGGCATCGATTCAAGAGGCCCTCGCCTCACGTTTTGGCAACCATCAGGGAAGCCAAGGAAAGCCACTGGTGATGCTCTTTCTTGGACCACCAGGACACGGGAAAACTTACTTTGCCAGCAATGCAGCTCGGTCATTGGTCGGCCAGGACAACTTTAAGTTTGTCCCATGCCAATCCATCCGGGACGATGCTGACCTTTTTGGTTCTCGCTTAGGTGGTTCTAGGTCTGGTCAATACAGCAGCGATGGAGAGCTGACTGGATGGCTCCGACATCGGCAAGGAAAGAAGTGCATTGTCTTTCTAGACGAGTTCGAGAAGATGAAGAAGTTGACTTCCTCTCTGGGTTGGAAACAAGACAAAAAGATCTATCAGTCTTTCCTTCAGCCATGGAATGATGGGCTTTTGAGCGACCAAGGTTCAATGCCAGCAGGACGCGGCGAGATGATCGATTGCAAGCAAAGCATTTGGATTTTGACTTCCAACTGGGGCCAGGAGGAAATCCTTCGCTTTTGGGAGAAGCACAAAGAGCGCATGCATTCGACCATTGAAAAGAAAGACGCTGAGTGGATCCAGAAACACTTGGTGGAAAAGATTCTACAGCCACTTCTAGAGGAAGAATTTGGTGATATGGACAAGGGACTCAAAGCACTGTCTCGTCGTATTGACTGCATAATTCCTTTCCTCCCCTTTTCCAAAAGAGAAGTGAAGGTTGTCGCTGACATCGCTTTGACCAATCGCTTTTCTTGGTATCGTGAGCCCTGTGTCTTACATGGCCCCGAGGACCAGCGCCGTTCTCTTGGAAACCTCCGAATGCAAGGTACTCGAGCTTTCGCAGCCTATGCAGGGAGCAGGTATGATCCGATGAAGGGTGCGAATGGTATGCTGTCAGCTGCGCAGAAGGCGGATGGGAAGTTTCAGCTTTTGTTTTTTCATGATCAGCTAGGCCTATCCGAAGAACAGGAGGCCCGGGTAATGAGTGAAAAGCCCCCTACAACTAATGAAAACGAGCCCACTTTCTGGGTCCACTTCGATAAGGATGCTAAGATCATCACCATAACACAAAGCCGCCCTGTCGACGATGATAGTGATGATGATGATGACGACAGCAGCAGTTCGGAGTCTCCTTTGAAAGGTCTCGGAGACGTTGGACCGAGCGCCAGCGAGAAAGAACTGTTGAAAGAAGGCAACAGTAGATATGACGTAGAGGCTCTTCCCACCAGGTGTTCCACCGCCGCCGATGATGCTTTCTAACTTGTGTCTGCAATCTACATACATAATCGCATTCCTGTTGTCACAAGGATTGATTAATGTTTGGAAAGGAAGTGACGAGTGCTGCTGGAGATTTCTTGGCATGGGCGCTCCTCTGCGTTCATGACACCAAGTTTATTCCTCTTATCTTTGTGGTTGTTCTTGCTCCACTCCAGACGAGTGTCCCTATCATAGAATGACTGCACTAAGCAGAATTTTCTGACTCAGTGTCAAACTACAACTCCACTTGTTCTTGTTTGGCCTGTGCCACTACTTGATCAATGTCCGTCGGAAATGTGGATGATGATGATGATGACAACTTGACAGGCCCCGTGTAGCAAAAGGTGCCCGGAGTACTGGTCAACTTTGCAATTATTCGTCTTCGATCCCTCGCGTCTCGATATCGTTGTTCCGGTAGAAAAACTCCCGGTGATGGATGTTCCAACAGATCCAAGCAAAACTCGGCGCAGGACTGTCCCACGCATTGTCGAAAGGATTCGTGGGCCTGCACAATGGAGGTCATTTCTTGTTTGGTAGTAGTGGTCGTTACATCAATGCGCATGGCATGAGTTTCACCAACATCAGCATCGCTGGTTGTTGTTTGTCGCAAGATGGCATCCGTCAAGAGAACGAGAGGTTGCGAAAAGTCGGCCATGAATTTGGAAAATGCCTTGGACCGCCACCACGGTCGGGGGACAATGTTGACCAAGAGCCCCAACATGACATTCCAAAGATCCGGTGCCGTTCCCATGGCGGCACTGGACGACCCTTTAATTTGCAATTCGGACGCGACCGTTGCCGCTTCGGGAAAGGGCCAGGCAAAGACTTGTTGTCGTCCGACGCGTTGTTGGGCTTGTTGATTATTATCGTCACTAATCATGTCATTATTGGGTGGTAAAAAGAAATCGACTTGTCCCAATAACTTGCCCGAGAGTTCCGTCAGAGCTCGTCGTGAGCCCTGATCGTGTTGGATCATGGGTTCCCCAAAGCCAATGTTGGTAATATAGAGGTTGATGGTCCCCGAACCTCCCAATCCCTTGGTAAAGTAATTGAATCGAACATCTTGAATTGTTTCATCGGCATTTTTCTTGGCGGCTGCTGCTGCTTCCATGGCCAAGACATTGGACATGCCAGGAAACGCTCCCGCCGCACAGAGTGCCGACGTTTGGGATGTTCTGGCAGCTTCCAATTGGTCCAGACTGGCTTGTAGAAATGGCAGGGGATCGGAAACATCCACATAGACGGGAATTCGTGCGGCAATGACAGCCTCCAAGACAGTGGGAGTTTCATCCAAGTAGGGACCGGCCGTGTGAATGACGGCACTGACGCCGTGTGATGATTGCAGAAGTGGTGCCAAACAATTGGCGTCCCAAATGTCGTCGACTTGTTGAAAGGAAATTCGTTGTCTTCTTCTTGTGTCACTGTTTTTTGTACCATCAACTATCTCTTGAATGGCAGCATCTCCTCCACGACGACCCACCAAGACAACCTCGCAAGTGGGAGATCGGTTCAGCAAGTGGTTGGCCACGGAAGTGCCAATTTTGCCAGTTCCACCCAAAATCACAAACTTGGGTACTGTAGTTGTAGCCGGCGAGGAGAGTGCCCATGCCACAGGAGCTATCGTCGTCACTACTACTAGTAGTAGCACCGACAACTGAAGCAGTGCCATGGGGAGTGCAGCCATGGTTCTATTACTGCAGAAGAGCATCGTCATGTTGTGTTTTGTCCTCTTGTTGGGTGCCTTTCTTCTTTCTTGTGCTTGAAGGAAAACTTGAAAGATCTTGGGGAGAAACTGAACCCATGACAGCACCCGGACCCTAAACTTAAGAAACATTGTGGTGGTCGACACAAGTGAAAAATCGAAGAGATCTATCTTTTGGAGCACGGGCGCTCTCTTGAGTACATGTAGAACTTGTCCTGCCACTATCCCAAATGAGGAGCTAGACGCCGACAATTCATTCTGCTATTAGAATGAGAGTGCGCCACAGCCTCCCTTGGCGTCCTGCAGACTGGGTGCAGGTAACATCTTTTCATCTGGATTGCTACGTATGAATAATAGAATTCTATTTTTTAGAGATAGCTGAGGAGGGTACAAGCAAGATCACTTGAGGCAAGATCTGCTAGTTACTAGTCATGTAAAGAAAGAGGTTGTGTGCCTGCTGGCTGCCAGGAGTGACAAGTCTCTAAAAAGACCCTGCTTTGGCAAGGTCGAGATCTCGGGTCGCCATAACATCATGGATACATCCATCCTTGGTGGCGGTGCTCCAATGAGCGCATGCTGCCTCGGCATCCTTCAGTGAAAACTCCGCAGCACCAAGGCGATGCCTTAATTTCGTCGAAGCAGCTGCGCGCGGTAGCTGGCAGCTCTCTGGATATTGAGGGCCACTCACGGTTTGGAAGAGCACAGGTTCATAATCTCGCACTTGCCACTCATCCCCAAACTGAGTGGGCTCCTCCATAACTGTCTTGCCATCACGGCCAAGCATTCTTCCCGTACCAAACTCTCCCATCATCCCGTAACTTCCACGAAATCGCCTCTTGTCTGCGTTTTCGATATTGACGGAAACCCAATCCTTGAACGTTCGGATCTTGATCTTTTCCTTTTCAGTGACCTGGATTTCAAAGAACTTGGTCTTTTCATCTCTGACGACAAGGTCGACAGAAAAGCCGGCGACATGTCCAAGGTGGTGATGATGCTTCGCTCCTTCCACTCCATTGAGAAAGAACTCGCCAAAGCTCCCAACCTCAAGAATGTCTTCTCCAATCTGCACTGCTGCTGTTTCAATGTAAGAATAATCGTAGCGGGTCTTGGTCCTACGGTAGAAATGAAAAAGTAAGTCAAAGGGGAGAAGAGTTAGCAACATGGGGGCGGCAGCCATCATAGAGTTTGTTCGTGAGCGTACCTGATGTGAATATCCAACGCGGTGTTGTTGTCTTTAAAGTTTGGTGCATGGAGCAATACAAGATCACATGCTCCCATGTAATCATACATCTTGCCATTCCATGTCAAGAAATGAGGGTCACCTTGAACACCACCATTAAACCCTGTGGGCCCAACGTTTGTAGGATCTGTTGGATTGACATCTGTAGGATCTGTGGGGCCAACATCCGTGGGACCAGCATCCACGACAGTGACCTGGAACAGTACCGGAACCGACTCGAGTCCGCCGGAATCTTGCACCGTGACAGCCAATTCGTAGACTCCATTCGCATCGGCATCCAGTGGATTGGTGAAGGGAGGGGTGATGCCACCCACAAAGCCAATGACTCCAGTGGTGGCGTCAATGATAAAAAGATGTGTATCAGGAGCGGGCAACAAGGAGTACACTAGCCCCGATCCTTCGCTGTCATTATCATCCGTGCTCTGGACATCAATGAACAAAACATCAGTCTCCGGGATTTGGATTGATTGCCCCGGAGTTGGGAATGTAATGGAGGGCGGTAGGTTGGTAGCATCATTATCCGTGATAATTCCACTGGCTGTTCGTCTTGTCACCCCCACAAGACCAAGTGGTTCCTCGCGTCCGAGAGCAAGCACAACTGTCTCATCACCTTCCAGCAGAACATCGTTAATAATGGTGACCTGAACGGTTTGGGATAGTGGTCCGCCAGGGAGGAAAGTGAGGGTAGTGACAGGAAAGTTAAAGTCCAGCCCAAGATCTGCAGTTCCAACAGGGGTACCCAACACATCGACAGTTACGGGAATTGGCGGATCACTACTCAGAGTGATGGTAAACTCCATGGGCCCAGCACCTTCCATGACAGGAGCCGCGTCTAGAATGGAAAACATTGGTGTGGCGGGGGCATCATCATCCAGGATCGTTCCAATGGCCGTTCCTTTGGTGACAACCACCGCAGAGGCAGGTTGTACACTGCTGATGCTGACCTCCACGGTTTCGTCACCTTCCACTAAGGTGTCACCAATAACGGTGACCTGGAATGTCTGTAAAAGAGGTCCGCCAGGAACGAATGAGAGGGTAGATATGAAGGGCAAGTAGTCTGCCAATTCTGTTGCAGTCCCACCAGCAGTAGTCTGGACATCGACTGTAAAGGGCTCCATGGGATCACTGTCAAGAACGACGTCATACACCAGCTGCACCAGCTGCCCCACCCCTGGTTCCAAAACGGTCGCATCGAGAATTTGAAGATTGGGTGGTCCAGCAAAGACTCTCATGGGACAAAACTGTGGAGGCGACCAAATGGGATCGGCGGCACACATTACATCAAACGGTAAGGGAATTGGTCCGCCGACGGTGCAGCACGATGTTGGATCGTTCAAGCAGGGGACTCCAAACAAGGTTTCCCAGCAGAACTGCTCGAACGAATAGCATGTATCGCCGGGGTTGGGATCGCACGGATCAACCGCCGTCGTCTCGCAGCAGGTAGGAGTCGTCCCGGTGGGTTCGCACACGAAATTGCCACCGCGGGCGTCATTAATATCAAACCCATACTCATGACCATTGGCGCCACACTCGTCCAAGGTAAACGCAGTGTCGGGACACACCAAGCATTCTCGGTCCGTGCAGCAATCGTAGGGAACAGGATCCGTTTGTGCCAGAGCGCCGTGACCTACTAGCATAGCAGAGAGCCATGCTATTGTCGCCGTGGTGCGAGCAGTGGAGGAGGTGACCATGGTGATGCTGCTGCGATACTAGTAGCTGTTGGGGTCGAGGGTGTGGGGTATCAATGTGCTATTTTGTGAGGGCTTTGCGCCTGGTAACTGGTAGGTTCGCTGAGCGGATCATTTACTGGTTCATTCCCACATCCTGCTGGTACCGTACGGTACAGTACATGGTACATGTACTATCGTGCCCATCACCGTGAACTGTGCGGTACGCGGTACACTTTCAGCGAAAGATAGCGTTAACCATCGAAGAGGATGCTTACGATGCCCGCGAATAACGAAACTTATATCTCGCGGCTCCTGTCCAAGATGCTCTTTTTTGGTTTTGCTACGTGTACAACCTTGAATACAAGATATTATTTGATACTCGAGTAATATGGCAAGGTGCTAGCTAGTGACGCCCAGATCGCAAGCTTCAAAAGCCTGTCCAGGCTACTAGCTAGCTATTGGACTAGTAGAGAAAGGCTGTCCAGGCTATGCATAGCTAGCTAGTAGTACCGATAGTAGTAAGTATTTGGGGACACGTTGGTAAGGAGCTGTAAAGGTTTGTCTGCTACATTGCCGATATCTAAAAAGGGGATGCCCGTGGTCCTCGGCCACTGCTTCATTGCCAAACAAAAATAGATATTAGTATGATATTGCTACCGGTAGCATCCTATCTGGCTACTGTAGTATCTTATCTCAAGGGTACAAAACCTGAATGTGAATCACGAGGGTATTCATGTGAGGCTTTTCGATAGCCCATTGCAAACCTGCATGGCATCACGCCAATAAGTACTACATGTATCCGCTATCCGAGTATTTGAATTACGGGAATTCGCTTTCAATCTTTCCAGTCCAAAACGGCATGCTCAACTGTCTCGTTTTTTGTACTGTACCACGTTGCATGCATACTCGTACACCGAGTAACTTAATTATTAACAGCCACTGCCGTCCGCCGTCTTGGTAAATACCAATCATGCTCCTCGGCTCGTCGGTCCACGCTGGGAGTGATCGCGCTGAGAAGCTACTTCGCTCCTTTCCTCGTTTGTTGCTACTGCTGTCTGTCACAATTCAAGCAGCCAGATATCTGGAACCGCAAACCTCCAACAAACCAAACCACCAAAAAGCTACCAAAACCAAGCAACCATGAGCGAACCATTCATCGGACAAGTTGTTTTGTTTGCGGGCAACTTTGCCCCTCGAAGCTGGGCGTTTTGCAATGGCCAATTGTTGGCCATTTCACAAAACTCGGCCCTCTTTTCCATTTTGGGAACCACCTATGGCGGTGATGGAAGAACCACCTTTGCGCTACCCGACCTTCGAGGACGAGTCCCCGTGAGCCAAGGAACGGGTCCTGGATTGCCCCCTATCTCTCTTGGTCAAAGGCGTGGCTCCAACACGGCGACTCTGACTGTCAACAACATGCCGGCGCACAATCACGGTGCCACGGGAAGCCTCGCCGACAAGCAAGCTTGCAGCAAGGCTGGAACTACCAAATCCTTAAAGTACCAACCCGGTCCGGCGAATGAAGGAAGTTGCCAGTTGCGCTACGAGCTGCAACCCGTCGGCCGAGAGACGTGTTACTTTGACAGTGCGTCGGATGTCTTGACGGTTGTGGCGGACCACGCCACCGATACGGGCCTGTGCGATCATATTTTGGGAGAATTGGTCAGTGACACTGTTGCCATTACCATTACCAACTCGGGCGGAAATCAGGCGTTTAGTATCGAGCAACCCGTGTTGGGCATGAATTACATTATCGCCACTCAGGGTATCTTTCCCAGCCGCAATTAGTTTGGTATGCTTCTCTTTCTTCTTTCTATTCGAATGCCTCCACACACAATCCAAAAGCAGTTCAACCCTCTTTCCAGCTTGCGTTGGGGAGTTGAGTTTATTAAAATTAACCTATATTCTAAACAAAACAATTTATATTGAAGAAGCCACCGTGGCAGGAACCTTGTTGGGAATTTGTAACTAGCTAGATTGGATGCAGTAGGAAGATTGACGTAGAGGGCCGCAGAGAAGGCAGAGGAAAGAGATGTTCGCTCAAGTAAGATGGTACAGTATTGGCGGCCTTACGCAACGGAAACCGAGGCAGAACACCTGCTTCTTGCAACATCCATTGCAACAGTCCGTCCAGCTAGCTAGTTGTCCAGCCATGGAAACATCGAGAAGCCTAGCCCCGATAACGTTCACACGAAGTGTTCGCAGCGAACACTGTTCACTCAACACTAGTAGCTAGTAGTAGGTCTACAAGCAGTGCACCCTCTAAGAGAATGTAGAAGTTTGTTTTCTTACAGTATGCTCATAATGGTTTCCATCATACTATTACATGTAGTACAAAAGTGTCAATCGTCGATCATCATGGGGCTCCTGGCTTGGATGTTGACAGATGCAAGGAAAATGCCAAGTATCCAAACATGTGGTGGCTCTCAGGTCAAAGATTTAGAGGGGAACTTGAGACTGGTAGCAAGGTGCTTCAGCCATGGCAAGCAGGAGGTAGTCCCTGACCAGTAGGGACAAAAAAGCTAGGCACTGGAATTTCAATACATGTAGGTTCTGAAAACCTTGGGTTGCTCCGGGCTCCAACCCCAAAGCAGGCTGGTGGTAGGAGGAGGCTGGAGCCCCAGGTTGGTCATCTAGTTTGCGGTGGGACAGTAGATTTTAAGGTTGGGTGGGAGAGTAGATTTTCAGGGTTGGGTGGCCTGCCGTAGGCAACAATTCAATCCACTGATCTTGCAGAGCGCTGTTCCCAGGCAGAGCGGGTACCTTCAACGGCCAAAAAAGTCTCATGGTACAGTACCAGAAGTCTGCTAGCTTACTTTTGTTTGTCACTGCACCCGCATTTATTGTCATAGTCCACTTTTGTTGTTGCCTTTGTTCTTGTTGTCAGGGTCTTTGGCAGGGTCGCACCCATTTTTTATGGGCCTCAGCTTAACCAAATCATTGTCGATGACGGAACAATCACCGAAACAACAACAACAACAACAACAACAACAACAACAACAACAACAACAACAACAACAACAACAACAACAACAACAACAACAACAACAACAACAACAACAACAACAACAACAACAACAACAACAACAACAAAGGAGGAGCGTCAGCGCCGGTTGGTTCCCCAGTGTGGCTCAATAGGCTTGCGACTTCGTCTCAGTGCTCACCGCTGCTAATACATGTAACAAGGCAGAAAAACAGCCCAGTGATGTTGGTCGGCGCCATCTGCCATGGTCAACGATAATAATATCGCGGTCTAGTAGTTCTGCGAAGCACGATTGCACACGACATTGTATTGTACATACTAGTACATGTACCGGTAGTACACCGGTACCTACTTTGTACAGCTCTTTGTACCGTACTGGCATTTTTTGGTACCGGTAGCGGTAGTGAGATAGATGCGAAGGGAACGACCTAACTAATAGATTTATCATCTAGCAGCTCATCCAGCTAGATCACGTTTTTACTTAGATAACTAAGTCTTTGTAAAAATATTCCAAGACTGGTACTTTTACGGTACTTTCTGAGTACTCCTGGAGTAGAGCTTACTTATATGACAGAAGGTCAGTGTCCTTCTCCTTTGGCAAGAATGGATGAAGTGGGACATATAAGAGTTAACGTTACTCGGTGTATTCTAACAATTCCTCCCCTGCCCACAGTTTACCAATGACTTTACGTCGAGAACACCTGGAGAAGCCATTATTTATTAAAAAATAAGGGACAGCGTACAGTCGTAATTCGCGCGAAGGATGAAGGACATCAAAACTACAAAGGTGGGGTAAATATTTCTTTGATCCGGCGGGTCAAACCAGTTTGGCTTAGCTGGTTGGGCGGCAGGCTTTCGGAACGGAGGAGGGGCTAACTTCTTCACTCTGACCATCACCAAGGCAACCCGGAGATTCCGGCTGCCCACCCAGAGAATCTCTGCTGGCTCGTATGAAACAATGATAAGAAATCCCAGTTCTCCCCAGAAGTTCAGTGGCCTGGGCAGAATTCAATCATTCGATCAACCGGATGCAGCAGAGTCCAGCGACATTGAATCTGGGGGGTTTCAACGTACATACACACCATAACAGATCCAAAACCTCCTCATTGCAACGAAACAGCTACGAAACCAACACAAAACAAACCCAAACCCAAACACAAACACAACAATTCGGTTTTTTTCAGCGTTCGTCTCTTGATTCCTTAGTTCCAGCTCCCAACACTCAGTTACCTCGCAATGGATCCTTATGACGAATACATGCACAACCGAAGATTGTCAATCCAGCCATTGTAGTCGGCTGCCGTATAGTTAGATCACAACCGAAGATTGTCAATCCAGCCATTGTAGCCGGCTGCCGTATAGTTACATCGGCGACAGTGGCAACAGTACCGGACACACTTGGGTTCGGCTTTGCTCGCTACACTCCGTTACCTCGCAATGGATCCTTATGACGAATACATGCACAACCGAAGATTGTCAATCCAGCAAATGTAGTCGGCTACACACCGTATAGCAGACGACCGTAGACTTACCATTGTTTTTCAAATTGCATCAACTTGGCCGTCATGGGCCGAGAAATGACTGCCATCCCAAATTAGTACAATTTCAATGGGGATGGCATTCCAATCTGCACCGGAGACGGTCGGCTTAAGTGAGGCTTGGATAACAGAGGTGCGATCGATTCGAATAATTAAAGACCGATCGCCTATTGACGGCTGAGAACTGACTGCCCGCCCATGGTCCATAGAAATGAATGAGGGATGGCATTCGAATCTGCACCTTCAATAACACTCTTGATTATAGGTGGGCTTACCTCCGTACCACCGTACCAGTCGTTGGATCGATCGATCGATTCAACACCACTGTTTACGAGTTATCTATCTATCAATCTTTATCGTACGAAAGAGGCAAGTCATTCGCCCGAGGACTTGTGCATACAGGAAAATGGGTACCGACACAGGAATCACCACCAAAACACTAGGAAATATCACTGGAGGGGTGAATCCGATAGGAGGATCCACTCTCTTGTGTGCGTACGAGTTGTCGTGTAGTCTCCTCCTCCACTTGTTGCCATTTCAATGACTCGACGACGCTTGTTCATGCTGTTGGTAGGGCTGGAGTTAACACACTCCTCCGTAGCGGTAGCCTCTCCTCTTCTTGTGCCGTTATCCGGAGCGATCGGCCGTTCGAAAAGGACTCGACAATGGCATTTCTTCGGCCGTCGGCAGTAAGAGAACAGAAAGTAAGAAATAGATATGGTTTTCTCTTCTCTTCTGACACTGAAGAAAACCGGCGACTTACCCTTGCTTTTCAAATTGCACCAACTGGCCGTCATGGCCGAGAACAGCCTTCCCAGGTCAAGATTAATGAGGGATGGCTTCGCTCTCACCGGAGAGGAGGCTTGAGTGAGGCTTGGATAACAGAGGTGCGACATTCGATTCGAATAATTAAAACACTCACCTGTTGATGGCCGAATCTACTGCCTGCCCATGGTCCATAGAAATGAATGAGGATGGCTTTCGCATCTACACCTCCAATATCACTCTTGATAATAGGCCTACCTCGAATGGAATCAATCGATTGGCCGATTGGATACAGCAGTCACCATTGTTGCCGGTTAAGCTTGGATTTACCTCCTGTTTGCCATAGGAATTCAATGAGGGAGAGAAGTCAGTGCTGCGCCTAATATAATAGACCTGATAATAGACTTACCTCGTACCGTACCAGTCGTTCGTTCGATCGATCGATCGATTGGATAAAGCACTCGATCGAACGATCCTCCCACCGGTACCGGTACTAGTACCTCCTACCACCGATATCACTGTTGTCGGCCAAGCTTGGATTTACCTCCTGTTTACCATACGAATTCAATGAGGGAGAGAAGTCAGTGCTGCACCTTCAATAATGGACTTTCGGTGCGATCAGTTTATCCTTTTATCCACGAATCGATCAGGTTTGGTACTTACGGATACACATGACCGTTGATTCTGCAACTGAAGTGCGGGTACACTAATTTACACAGTAAACGCGAGCGAATCGATTTCAGAGTGCAACTGAGGGGGTAACCAAAAGGTGCGTCGTCTCTCAGGAGACGTAACAACCTCACCGAAATCACCATAGTACACGACGAAGAATGCTCATCAGCAAAGGCGAAAATGGAAGCCGTAGAAAGAACCATGCTGGAAGAGAAGCGTGCGAAAAATGTGGTTTTCGAAGGAAGGATTGCCACCGGCGACGATCTCAAGAAAGTCGGTCCGAAAACGGACAATGACCGCCAGAAGGTTGGGGCGGTGGCGGTTACTCCTTTGAGAGCTGTGGAGAGCGGCGATGAACTTTTGCTACCATATCGGTTTCAAGGTACTATCATGAGAAATCAGACTGAGAATAATGACCATCCAACCGAGCAGATGCCTGCCACTGCCCTGAACAGGGCTGCCATCAGGCCTGCAGCGAGTGGTTTGCCTGGTGCTTATCCAACGTATCCAACGGGTTCCAATATCTCCGTGGCATCTGGTTTCGACGAAGAAAACCAACTGCAAGAACATGCGCCATCTGACATTGCCGCATCGGGTCAACTTTCTACTAGCGGACTTGCCGAGCAAGCCAACACTGTAGGTCTTGTTCGGGCTAGACCTGTGTCAGATGAACATCTTCAGGACAGGCAAACTGCAGAGCCGGTCCCTGCCGTTGAACAACAGCAACAAGGTGGAGACCATTCTCAATCACAACCAACGGAAGACAAGGACCACTCGTTCCTGAGGCTCCTGTTGCTTCTGGCCTTTTGCGTTTCATTCCTCGTTGTTATTGGTCTCATCATTTTCTCTTTTGGAGGAGACAAAGCAACCAGTGAAAGTAGTAATTTACCAGTACAAGCAGAACAAGTGGTCGGCGTGGATCCCTCGAACAATGCGACAGCACCAGCAGCTGAATGGACCTGGGATTTGCCGTTTGCAGTTCCCAATCACACAATCCATACCATCCAACGTGACACAGAACACGCAAACAAAGGCGTACCAATGGCTGAAAGAACACCCGCTGCATGCCAACTTTTCGAGTGACGAGATGCTTCAACACTTTGTGACTGTTACGCTCTACCATGCAACGCAAGGACACAACTGGACATTTCAAGGAGGCGGCACTGTGGAGATCGCAGCAACCGGTAGGCATGATCGCAGTCTTCAACAACAAAATGGGAATTGCAGAGATACCGAACCGCAGAGGTGCTATCGACTGGTGAACATCACATCGGAGCCATGGCTATCCTACAACAACTCCATGTGCACATGGTGTTCGACAACCGTCCTTGAGAATGACTTGAATGTTGAGGTCTGCAATGATTCTGGGATGCTTCAATCCATGAGCCTCGTGCAAAACAATCTTCAGGGCACTTTACCTAATGAGCTTGGGTTGCTGTCATCATCATTGAAAGATCTACGGCTCCCAAGGAACTCCATTGTAGGAAGTCTCATTACGGAAATTGGAGCTTTGACGAACCTGGAGCACTTGGTGAGTTACAGCAGCATATATGCATATATTCAGACCACAAATTCTGTCTATCTTCAGCAATCTCAACACTACTGTGTCTGTCTGTCTGCCTGCCTGCCTACAACCCTGGTTATATAGTCCTTTTCAAACAACCAGCTTTCCGGTAAGATTCCTTCCGAGGTTGGTAAGCTATCCAACCTTCAGTTTTGCCATTAAATTTTGGTAGGCAATGAACTAAGTGGAGAAGTTCCACAAGAGTTCTGGAGGCTTTCTGCACTTCAAGAAATCTGGATCAGTTCCAATAACTTGGAGGGGAATCTTCCATCCGATTTTGGTGCTCACTTTCCCAACTTGGAAAGTCTAAACATGCCGCGAAACAAATTTTGGGGTCCTCTACCAAGCTCACTGTCACTCATGACAAATCTGACCAAACTAAACCTTCACCAAAATCAATTCTCGGGGCCCCTGCCGAGTGAACTTGCCAAGCTAACCAAGCTGAGACAATTGTTCCTTAAAGAGAACCAAATCTCAGGTTCCTTGCCTTCTGTAGAAAAACGTCCCGGCAAATTGAAAATCCAATGGCGCGCGCGATCGCAAGAATTCTTGGAGGCGCAGCCGACACGATTCGTCGCGAGAGCGCGAGCCAGCGGATTTTAGGCTGAGATCGAAGATCCAGTCGAGGCTGGAGGATTTTTGCCCAAGGGCCTAGGCGAAGCCGTAGCACGAGGGCAAAAATCCGACAGCCGAGACACAGATCAAGATCAAAGCCGTCAATGAGGCGGAGGTCTTTGTCTGTAATCTATTGACAAAAGCCCGAGTAAATAGCAATCAATCAATCAATCAAGCCCTACTGTTTAGTGCTGGAGTAGAGTAGTCAGTCGCTGGTCATCATGTGGTCGTCATCAGAAGAAGAGGAGAACACCCGAAGACTCCTTGAGAACCACGAAGGCGAGTTTACCTTCCACCCGTAGAGGACTCCAGTAGTAGCAGTAGTGAGGAGGAGGAGGAGGAGGAGGAGGATGAGGAAGAAGCGGTAGTGGAAGGGTAGTGGAAGGGGCAAAATCCGACAACCGAAACACAGATCAAGATCAATGCCGTCAATGAGGTGGAAGAAGCCGACGACTATGAAGAGGAGGAAGACACGAAGAAGAGCCGTCGGCCAGTAATGATGACTCAAGGAACCAGTTTTGTTGTGGCAAATCTTCTGGCACTTGGCTCTGAATCCAACATTGACTTTGGTCCAGCCAGAGTCTCATTGTCTCCCCAAAATCCAACTCCAACACCAGAAAATCCACCAAAAAATGCTGCTGAAATTGCCAGTGCTCTTGGTGTTGGTCGAGATTTTACACCTTGGACTTGACAGAGGAAGAGCAAAAGTTCTAGAAAATTGCAAGGACCAAGGAAGACGAGGCAGAAGTATGAGAAGAAATGTGAAGCTTCAAAAGCGATTCTTCAAGACAACGGAGCATGGAGGTCCGTCTTACAGTCTTCTTGAGATGTTCCCGTGATTATGACCAAGGCCACTCAACCAACTATCGTTTCTTCAATGTGGTATGCGGAGAAAAAGATCGAACAAACAAAAATCCTAATATTGGCCATCTTGTGCGAATGAAATGGTTGTGCTTGTCCGGTACAACAAAGGCAAGCCACTCTCCCCCACCGTCTTCACTCAATACATCAACAATGTATTCACCGAGTGGAAATCCATGACCCATAACAAATTCCAGTACACCTTCAAGGAGGATTTCAATGCCAAAGGAGATTTCATGGAGTCATGATTCAGTTTTGGGCGGAAATCCGCAAGAAGGATCCAACATTTGGAATTCGTAGTCATCATTCGGAGATGATTGGGAAGCGGACAAGAAAATCCGCGAAGCTGTCAAAGACGGTAAACTTCATCCGTGGACGAATCCAAAGATCTCCAACGTGTCTGCGTATTCCATCTTGGTCGATCATTTCTTCTTCGGGGCGGTAAGGAAATGTCGAGTCTCATGATGCGGGATACTTATTCCGGGATGTACACTCGGGAGATGGGGGACCTGGCTGATGTCTGCATATGGCAATCCGACTTCCGAGGACAAGACAAATCGACTGACATTTTACAATTCCAATGCTCTTTCGGACAAAGATCGTTGGTTGGAAATCGTCGAGAATCCTCGAGATCCGCTGTGTGCTTTCAAGTGTTTCGACTTTTATTTGTCGAAGTGTCATCCGGAAGCCGAGAAGTTCTTCGCCAAGGTTGCCTCCGACGCGCAGAAGAAGGAATACCGTAAATATTTCACGAAGCACCCAGTTCACGCGAACCGGTACAAGGATCGTGACATTTGGTTCCAACCGTCAGGTGAACCGCTCAATACAATCTTGGCCACAATACCGTATCCAAGATGGCCAAGGAACTCGGCACCACCATTGGAGTCACGAATCTTGAGAAGTTCACGAATCATGTCTTCGTGCCTATGGAATAACCAAGATGCATCAAGCTCGGTTCCAATGGCTGCTCGATTGAAATTCGCCCGTCAAAAGTGCGAACAGAGCAGATCCTATGCGTCTCGTGGATGAAGGTCGATCGACTGCTCTCAAAGCGTTGATGTGCTCTGATCAGGATTTGGCCGTGGAATCTGATGATGAAGACGGAATCCGCGTCCTCCTCGACGCGCTTCAGAGGATGAATCCGATGATGGTGGCGGTAAGCCACGCGCCAAGCGGGCCTCCAAGCGCCAAGCGCAAAAAGAAAAGGATGCAACTTGGAACAAGTCGAGCAAGTCCAAGAAGAATGCATCCGCCAAGAAGTCCGCCAAGAAGTCAGTGCCCGAGGAGATCTTGACTCAAGATTCGGACGATGAAGAAGAGACTTCCTTGTTGACCGAAGCTCCATCCGTCCTTCCGACGACAAGGATTGAAGAAGATGACGAAGGCCCAGTTGCTCGAGCTGGTTCACGCTCAAGCGGCAGCATCGACGGCCAGTGTTGCTTCCGCTCCTGCGGTAGCTGTTGGTGGTGCGGTTGTTTCCGTGGCAGGATCTCATCAATCGGTGGCGATGGCTCCAGTTGCGGCGGCTCCAGTTGCGCGGCTCCAGTTGCGGCGGCTCCATTGGTGGCGGCGAATCAAGTCATGGATCAACGAATGTATCAACAGCACCGATGCCCATGCAAATCCAGCCGCAGCCACAGTACTCGATTCCAATGCAAATGAATTGGAGTCAAATGGTGGCGATGCAGCAGCAAGCAACCATGATGCAGAATTTCATGATGCCACAACAACAGCAGTACGTGTATCCCCAGATTCCGACCGTTCAGATGCAAGCCGCTCCACAGATCTTGCCCGCTCCGCTCCACAGATCCAACAGCAACCGGCCCAACCACAGTCGCAGATTTGGTTTCGAGATGCCAACGGGAACTTCTTTCGGCCAATCAGAATGGACCGAACGGCCCCCCACTTGGATGATCACCATGGTGTCGCACGGTGGAAATGGGGAATAGATTTGGGCATAGATCATAAATCCGAACGGTGACCCGTCATGGTGTTTCTTTTTTACCGGTTGGTTTGAAGGAAAATGACATAGCTATTGCTGCTACTTTTCGATTGGTGAATTTATGGAATATTTCAACCGGAAATGAAAGGAGTTGTCGGCAGAGTGCTTGTTTCGTGCATCATTGACCGTTCCGAGCGACGTTCCGACTGTTTCACCTCTATTAGTTGTCCGTTTGATAAGAACCCTTTTTATTAGTAACAAATACGTTTTTCCATTATCTGCTGGTACATGAGATAGCCATATGAATAGACCCAGAAACTGGAAAAAACGAATTGTAACAAAAAGATACGGTTTAGTATTTTCAATCCCACAAAGCTATCAACATGAACGATTGATGGGAACCAATCCAACACATGGTCGCTGAAACAGACTCACATGGGCTTAACACGGTAACAACGTATGTTTATCATTTTCGCGGAATCTACAAAAATCCAGTCACAATCCAACGAACGTCCGAGGAGACATCTCTTATATAAATTTCCAGAATCTGTAGAATAGGATTGTACTGATTTTATACGGTGGAATATCCCGCAAACTGGATTTCTGATAAACGGCCGATAGATGTGAGTGGATTTCCGAGGATCGATGTCACATCAAATTTTTACTATAGAGACATCAGTAGAGAAATCCAATCGGATTCTGACATCAGGCCGTTACCGGCGATTTCAATCATGTTTGAAAAATTTCGAAATCCGAATCGGCCTATCGAGTTAAATAAGACGGGGATTTCGACCGTTGAGAACTTTCGACAGTAGAAAGTGTACCAGAGCTACGAGGGCGTTGGCGGGTGGATTACGAGCTGGGTCTCATGCCATCACTCTCATCGATCAATGTGGAAGGAAACCCGAATTTGGGAGGTACTATTCCACGAGAACTTGCCTCTTTGATGAACAATACACTAGGAAATCTCCGAATTGGGGGCACCAGCATCACCGGAACTATTCCGGATGAGCTCTGTGGTTTGGAGAAACTTGAGTTTGACTGCTCCCCAACAACTTTGTGTGGATGTGACTGCCTATGTGAGAATGCCTAAGTAGGAGTCGAGTCTACAATCCACACTGTACAAAAATAGATTAATGGTAGTGCATACTATGGTCAACTGGTTCCAGGGAACGTTGGTTTCACCGAATTTGTAAAAGTTCCATCAACACTGCAACCTGACCTCGGTGCCCGCAAAGTTACTCGAGGTCGAAATCGGCTGGAAGCCCCACTCGAAGAATCGAATCTCCGTTTGTACGAGCATTGAATCAAGCTCACTTGTATTCTATGTGGTGGTACATGTATGCAACAACAATCGAGCCGAGCCTAGCTAGTCACTTGAGTCTGGTAGTGTCAGCAACAGCTGGAAGATGATTCGATTCCATCGATGCAATGGAATCGAATGATTGATGATTGAATCATTCGGTTCGATCAAATGTCTGGACAAGTGTGCATCTTACATAGTTGGTGTCAAATCCAAGACTGATGAAAAGCCATCCAAGACTTGGTTTGTCTCCTGTTTTATCTCCGGGAATGCTTTCACCCTCTCCCAGCCTTTCGTTCACCAAAGGATCACCTCACAAATTTAAAAAATCCTCAAGAAATCATCCACACAAACAAGTTTATGCCAACACTCCTTTTCCAAGCAGACCGAGAAACTCTCCTGCCTGGTGAAGTCTTGTCTGGGCGGCTCCAAGTTTTTGTCCAGCCAGGACAAACAATCAAAACCAGCGGACTGGAAATTTACTTCAGGGGCAAGGAATACACCACTATCGTCACCGGAAGCGGCAAGAATAAACGCTTTTACGAAGGCAAGGCACTGGTTGGTCGTTCCGATCTGAAGGAAGTTAGCCGCTGGGCGACCAGAAGAATCATCCGTGATGGTGCTGTTCTGCCAGGAACCCACCTGATTCCGTTCAAGATCCATCTTCGTGGTCATCTTCCAGCGAGCACCAGATTCGATGGAGTTGGCAATGCGCCCAAGTTGAGTGCCAAGATTGAGTATTGCCTCCGGGCTAGACTCTCGGAGTCTGGAGTCTTCACGGATTATGAAGCTCGCAAGGCTATTCGTATCCTGGGAAAACCTGTGCCAGACAAGATTGCCCCACGCCGGGTAGAGCCATTTGCTGCCCACATCAACCGTCTTCGCATGTGGGAGAAGGGCGAAATGACCATTGGAGCCAAAGTTGTGGATACAGAACTGTTCCCTGGCCAGAAGGCTGGTGTCATTTTGGCCCTCAAGAACAACAGTGGGGCAACACCCAAGAGCCTCTCTTTGTCTCTGAAACAAATTTATCGGGTAAAGGCCTCCAACAAAGAAAAGCAAGTTTCCAAAGTACTTTCAAGCAGATTTTTTCTCATGAAGCATCTGCACAAGTACGAACCACTGACTAAGCAAGAACTCAAAAGCTTAAACAAGATTGATATCCTGGCTCGTCGTTGTGAAAACCGACGTGCCATCCTGCATGAACTGGATCATGCCCCCCAAAGCACAGAATTCCTTCAGCTTGTGGTCCCACCACACACAGCACCCCAATTTCAAAGCAAGCTCATCAAGGTGTCCCATGAGCTCGTGGTCAAGATCCACACAGATGATCTTTGCACCAACCCATCGTTTTCGATTCCGGTCACCATCTCCCCAAGAGCTCCACCTCGTGCTGCCTCTTCTCCCGTGGACCCTGTTGCTCCCCGCTCGACCCCTGTTGTGACAGCCGAAATGGCTCTGCCGGTAGCAATGGCAAGGCCAATCAGTGAAGAATCTCTCCGTAACTACCCTGAATTTGCCGTGCAAGTTGTACCAATTTTAGGTTGATGGGATGCCACAGCGGATGATGCGATCGAACTTGTTCTCTTGTTTGGCTCCTGACCAGAATGTCATGGCTGACACAATGCTTGAACATATTCTTGTAATCAATCAATCTAATCTGATCCATTCCTTTGCTTGTGAGGCCCCGGGCCAATCTACCTAATCTGATCCGTTCCTTTGTTTGTGAGGCCCCGGGCCGAGGGAAACTCGAGGCGGTCTTCTTTTTCCGTTTGCAACAGCCAGCAAGTCAGCTGTGCAGGGATGGGCCCTTTGACCCCCATTCAATGATTTAGCCAGTGAAGCTGTAATTGATTGATGTACACCCAGCTCTTTGGAAGACTGCGTACTCCCAGCACGATCAAGCACTTTTCTTCCATTTGCATCTTTGCCTCTTGTTGCCGTCAGTTATGCAATTGGTTCATCGAACCAACTATTGGGGGAAATACATTGACTCTAGTAACACTGACGATGAAGTCGATTTCGACGCCATTTGGGCTATGGCCTTGAACGATGGCGACTGGCACTGTTGCCCAGGTTTTGGTCGACGCTGGGTTGAAGTTGTCAATTCTGATTTTCGAGATGAGTATGATGGTTGGTGGTCTGTGTTCTTGGTGAGCGAAAGGAGAGGTCATTCGGATGGGCATTACTTTTACAAATTTGTTGCAATCCCTCAAGGGACTTATAGCTATGGGAAAAAAGGATGTCAACAGCGCGGTTGGAGCTACCAAGGAGAGTTTGAGGCCGACAATGCCCGTGATCAACTCGAATCGATACTGGACTATTGGCTAAACTTGGATGACGATGACTTTATCCACATTCATATTGGAATTTGGATGGATCAGCTTTATACAGGAGGGTGATGGTGAACGCATCACTACGAGTACCCTGTATCTTGTAGATAATCATGCTGGGCCCTGAACTGTTCTGGTTATCTCCCAAAGGCAATCTCTCGCTCCTAAAACAGAAATAATCCTTCAGCATATGCTAGCTAGGAAAAGCTCTTTGTACGGAATGGAAATCAATGATGTTGCCACTGAGGATGGCGAGATGCCTGTTCCACTCCCCATGCTCTAAGCCAGATATCTGCAAGCAACGAGCTCTTAGATCCGCCCTACCGGTACCGTGTTCTAGACGGCACGGCGGACCTCTGCGTTTTTAGCTATTCAACTTGGGCTTGGCTGTTGCTCAACCTTCCAAGAGAGCCCACACTAGCTAGCTAGTATCTGTTTTGGGAAAATGGGCCGGATGCGCTAGTCTAAATCTTTTCCAGGTTGCCAAATGCCAAACTCTTCCAACACAAGTTTCTCTTGGCAGCCTAAAGGGCTTCAAATGAACACGTCATCGGTCATCGGCGTTGGCAACTGCAAACTGCAAACTGTTGGCTTTTTGAGTTGAAGGGCAGCAAAAGATCAAACGATGTTTCAGCGTTAGAGCAGTGTCTCTATCTCCTGATCGACCTGTTCGCCGACAACCCAAGAACTTTGTTGTTACCGTAGCTTCAGGTGTCCGGTATCTGACAATGGGTCGGCCTGCAAAGACTTCCTGTTGTTGCTACCTAATAAGATTTCTTTGGTTGGCGGCATGTCTGGTTGTGACCGTTCAAGCCCAACAATCCGGATGTGGAGTGTGTGCTTCCACAGGAGATTGCTCCCATGCATTCAAGGGGAATCCGGGTCAATTTTGTGGAACGTTTTTCTCTAAGCAACAAAGTACTGCCAAGCCCTGTTGTTGTCCTGTCCAGTCGAGTTGCAAGTTGGGACCCGATACCTGTCAGTGTCATGTGTCAGGAAACAGCAGCAGCAACAGCAGCAGTTCTGGTGGCAACAGTAATGGTACCACCACGGATTTAACTGGAATTGTCTTGTTTGTGATTGCCACCTGCGTGGTTGTGGGTTGCTGCTATAAGGGATGTTGTCAGAAGCAGGAACCCAAACAAGTCTATACTGGGCCCGTCTTTGTGGAGGAAGAAGTACAGCCCAGTGCCCCCGTGGAAACGGATCCCTTGGCACCACCACCGGCCACCAATCCTAGTTACGCAGCTACTGCGCCTACTTTGAGAGCTAGTAATCCGTCGTCCGGTCCTGCCTTTGGAAGAACCTACACCAATCCGGCTGGATTGACGGCCCGACCAACCTACCGTCCCACTGGAATCGGAAATTGGTTGGCAGGAGGATTGGGAATCGCAACAGGGGCCGCGGCTGGATCGTTGGTCACGCATCAATTGGATACACAGAGAGAAACCAGTGATAGTCATCGATACGGTGATGATCCCTATGGAAGTGGTATTGGAGGCGGACACGATATTGCAGGTGATACGGGAGATGACGATGGTGGAGTCGATATCGAAGGAGATTCCTGAGGTAAACAAACGAGCCAGGCAAATGCAAAGTTGAGGCAAATGCTACCGGTACCACAACAATAAGCAGAGCCGGACCACAAAATCTAATAACTAACTAGAGAAAGGTTTTTGATCGAATGCTGTCAAACAAGATATCCATGTGCTCTAGCAGTCACTCGTATTCTCGGTACATGTAGTCTTACAATATCTCCCTACTAGTGCATCCGATCGAGGCTTGATTGCTCTTGTGATACTATATTATGTTACAATGAAACTGGCTTGCGAAAATCCATTAGTCGTACGGTAGGTCTCTGCCTTCAGGGCAATTAAATTGTCGGAGCGAACCAGTTCCCTCCTTTGCTTTGCGTTGCTGGCTGCGAACTACAGAATGCCTACGATGAGATGCTTCATGATGGGGGTAACTTAACGTCTATGAATTTCTGTTTTCTATGCATGCCAGCGTCCTTTACTAAGCGGTAACTTGACGTCTATGAATTTCTTTTTTCTATGCATGCGAACGTCCTAACTAAGCGTTCACTTTCCGCTGAAGGCAGTTTCTTCGATGTAATGATGTAGCTATCAATCTCAACAACATCTTCTGGATTGCAAGCTCATTAAATGTCACGGTCTTCTTCGGCATCAATACCCGGTTCCTCCTTGACGGCTTCCTTGGCTTCTTCGGGTGTCTTGGCGGTTCCACGTAGGCTCGATGGAGGCGCGAGGGTGGTCAGGTTGTCCATGACTTCAACCACTTCCAGTTTGGGTTCCTCTTCTTTGCTGCGGGAGGAAGACGACGACGACGACGACGAAGAAGAAGAGGATGATGAAGATGAAGAAGACGGCTCAGGTTTCTTGTCATGCTTGTGGTGCTTCTTTCCATGTTTCTTATGGTGTTTGCCATGGTGGTCGTGGTCATCATGGTGTCCTGAAGACAGAAAGATCGACGCTGTAGTTAGCAACAATCTCTAAAGAAAGAAAACTCAGAAAGTACAAGCAATTTTCATTCAAACATACCATGATGAGGGCCGTGGTGATCGTGGTGGTGTCCTGTGCGGAAGAGAGAGACGGAGAATGTGATAAGTTGAGTTGGAAGCCTTCTTCAACTCTAGTAGCCAAAAAGAAGCTCTTTCACGTCACTTGCCGTGGTGATGATCTAAAGCACCTTCAAACCAACCCATGATTCCGCCACTATCCTTTCCTTCCTTTTCATGATGGTGGTGCCCGTGTCCATGAGCTGCGACTACGGCGCAGAGGACAGCAAAGATGGCGAGCTTGAGATTCATGGTGGGGTATCGATTGTTTCTTGTTTGGGATTGGTTTGTTCGATTTTGTGAGATGAGAGATGAAGGAGGAAGCTGCGGCTGGCAATCAAAAACACACGATCCCTAACTCTAAAAAGATCCACCACGACTAAGTCACTGGTGAGCTCGAGCGGCGGTGCGTCCCGTCATTGATACTGTATTAAAATAGGTGCCAGCACCAATGGATATTCATCGAGAAACCCGAGCAAACCGATGTTTCGTCGTTTGTCTAGCTAGCTAGCCAGCCAGCCAGCCATACGACTTTGCTTTCTGGCTGCTAGCTAGCTATTAATAGATTGAGTTTTGGGGTCGTGTCATTGCTGTGTCTTGCCAATGTCAGTATCGGTACCAGTGAGATCTCCTTTGCCCGGCCGAAATCTGCCAGCCATGCAAGCGTGCATCGCGGCACATGTCCTCTCAGCATCCATCAGCAAATACCAGCCAGCATGATGGCAATTGGCTTTCCATCCTATTCAAATCTGCCAAAAGAACAAAACTTGTTGACCGCAGCAGTGGTGTCTTTTCAGTAGCCCCAGAGATTTCATTGGTGCCCTGCCTGGCAAGGAAAGTACGTGCCAAGAAAGAAAGAAACAGTAAGATGCTCCATTGCTTGATCCTCCTCTTTGTCTGACTAGTCTAGCCAGCTACTCAAGAGGACATTGGCTTTCCGACCAGCTCGTAGTCTGGCGCATTGAATTCTGATGTCGCGCCGTTGCTTTGTATTTCCCAACACCAGGAATTGTTCGATGAATCGAATGTTTGCTTGCAACCGTTTATGGTTACATACATCGCGGCAAGCAACTTCCCGCTCACAGCCACATCTACGAAACCAGCATGTCAAAGTAATGTTGGCGGAGGGTAAACTCGATATCCGGCAGATGGTGTCATTTCGTGTGGATGCTGTGGGTAATCTACAACCGGACGCCTGCTGTTCTACCCTTCCTTTATTTGTGAACTGAACTTGTGGTGAAGAGGATCAGATCTCGCAAACGACGAAAAAGGCATTGACTTTAGCGAAATAAATAGACTATACATGGTTACAATGAATGATATCATTCAATCCTTCCTGGCCGGAGTTTCTTAATGGGCCGATTCCTTGCTGCTGCGATGTGACGTTTCAACACCAACCATTCTCAATTGTCCGGTGCGCTGGATCACCATGCTCCATTGTCCAGTACTCTGTTTCATCGTCGATCGAAGATAGTGCCGTACTGGTGGCGCTTAACGAAGATACCACAGAATCGTCATCCAGTTCTTCTTCTTCTTCTTCCTGTTCGCCATCTGGCCCTGACGACGGCTCTGTTTCGTCATCCACGTCTTTGTATTTGCGTGCATCCCGTTTGTACAAGCCGGCATCCAGCGCCTTTTTACCCCCTTGATGGGAAACTTCCAAGACAGCTGTGTCCACGTCAACAACAACAACTATTCCTCCGTGGGCAGCCTCATTGGCACTCTTTTGAACGGTAGATTGCAATCGCGGCTGTTCGTCGTCCTGTTTCGCAACGACTTGATCTGATTTTTCAATGGCCGTTTCTCCAGCTTGCAGCAGAGCATCAAGGAGATTCTTGTTGTCTTCTTTGTCCGTCAATACATAATCTGATTCGTCTGCAATCTTGGTGGTACTTGTGGCAGCCGTTTGGGGGGTAGTGCTCAGGAGTGTGCCACCATTGTCGAATCGACCAGACTCTGCTGTTGGGACCTTGTTCTTATCCTCTTGATCGAGTCTCTCTTCGGTGGCGTTGACTGATCCTTTGGTAACATCCTTCAAGCCCTCCTGATCGGGACCGTTCATCTCGGTATTGTCGTCACCAGCAATGTTGCCAGCAAGACGGATCAGGTTGCTCTGGTCATCTTGGACATTATCGGAATAGCTGCTGGCATGTTGCAGGGTACAATCCTTTTCCTTGTCGTGCCGATCAGGTTCTTTCGTTGCTTTGGCCTCCTCCTCTTCTGCTCGAGTGTCCTCTTCTTGCTCCAATTGCTCCACCCGCTGATCCTCGTCCTTTGCCTTTGCTTCCCACCAAAATACCATCTTGCCAAAGCTGAGAGCTTATTACTGAGTAGAAACTAGACTATGGGTGACTCCTTGATAAATACCTTTGATCAATAGTAGTACGAAGTAGTCTACACGTACGGACGAAGGGTGATGAGTGATGAGTGATGATGAGCGTGGTAGTTGGGCGATTTTGCTTCTGTCACACGCATCATCAATGCCCTTCATCTTCAACTTTTGGAGTTCTTGTTTTGTCCAAGACCTTCGGTTGCCCCCACAATTTTGTGCCAAAGATTCGCGGGCTTTAGTTAAAAGGGTACTAGTACTCGAAGTTCTTAATTAAAAATTTATCACTGCGTTAAATGTTAAGGTGTTAAGGTACCGGTACCGTAAACATATGGTTAATTAAACAAGTTTTGTTGAGGGAGGCCTCCTCGCCTCCTCGTGGCTCGTGGGTACTCGGAGTAGTGGGTAGTGGGTATTAATAGTGCATTTTGCGAATAAAAGTCATTGTCACAATGGTAGGTGTACTGGCATTATAAAAATCATATAAGTATCAGTATGCCAAAAGTACTTTTCTAAAGCCTCAAGTGTCCAGGATCCGAATTCCGAATACTGATAATCCTGCTAAGATGATTGCAGATGCAACCGATGGTTGCATCGTATCTTTACCGGTACCTGCCGGTACTACCGTAGCTAGCTAGTATCATACCGGTAGCTAATAGAGCAAGGAATGCTATTGAATTCATTGCTTTGTTCTTTTTTGGCTAGCTAGTAGATAGTATTACAGCATTGTACCTGGTACAAGGAAAGAGTCAGTCCAAGGGTACCGTACAGGTGCATTCGTTCCCCAACATGTCAACCCTGGCAGGCTCGGGCCTCTTTTTGTATTCTGTTGCCTGCCAAAACTTGAATTTCCTTTCTTTCAGCTTTCTTATTAGTTAGTGGCAATCCTTCACCCCTTGGGTGACAATTTTGAGCAGAGCACCAGGCCCCTTCTTGATCTTCTTGAGCTGACTTCTGATGGTGCTCTTTTGCCTCTTGGGCTCAATGATTTGCGTAGAAGATCCATTCTTCTTGAGTGGTGTAGTGGCAGCAACCTTGGAGGACATTGTGAGGCAAGAAAGGGAGTAGTAGTAACAGTTGTTGAGCTAGATTGATGAGTTGGTATTTTGTTTCCTGAGTGTGGATTTATGAGGGGAGAATGATCAGGATCATCAATCAATCCATCAACTTGGCTATCCCCAGCTGCATGTAGCTTTCCGGCGAGAACCTTTGGTAGCTGTGCAGCTTGGACCTTCACGGTGGCTGTACCAGTCGTGAATTTGCCAAGCGCAGGAGACTGTGGGAAGATTTGATCGCACCAACACAGTAGCACGGCCCAACTATCTCTCGTACCCCACCAAACGTACCCTAAAGTAAGCTTGTCCTCACGTAGAGTCTTAGTCGAGTTGTCTCATCGCTCGGACACCGCTAGCAATACATAGTGCAGTCCAATGCATTACATGTAGACTTTCCACTTCTTGCTACATGTAGCTACTAGCTAGCTACTAGCTAGCTAGCTCTAGACAGATTAGAGAAGAGGCTGACAATGACAAGCCATACTCACAAGGAGCAAGGTCCCTCACGGTACCCGTGGGATGAGCATAGTATGCATAGTTGAGAGCTTGTGTTGCCGAATCTTCAATCGAATCGAATCCTTTGACAACTCTGGTGCTGTGCTGGCTGTGCTGGCTGTGCTGGCCATGGTTGTGGCAAATTACTGATTTTAAAATAGTAATCCAGAGAATGGTAGAGTGGAAAGGTACAAGCATGCTTTCTAAATCCTCAGGTGCTAGCTAGGGGCTACATGTAGTTGCTTCAGATTATTCCGAGCAGTCGAGATCCGAGTAAAGAATAGCAAAAGAGTACTAGCTAGTTCTCCAGCTTGTGAATTGTGACTGATGCTATTAGGGGGGATACCCCAAAGTAATATAGAACAGCCTAATGATCCGCCTTTTCCGGACGTTCACGCTTCTGGTACCTGGTACTTAATTAAAAGAAAGACGCTGCCAATCCAGTAAGACTCCAGTGCTTCCATGGAATGGAATGGAATCGAGATCAACAATAATTGCATCGGAAGTAAGTCGGAAAGGTGGAGTTGCAGTTGCGCTCGGAGGTTGGAAGCAGGAAGCAGGAAGCAGGGTTCTGGAAGCAGCTGGGTACAACCGCCCCCAACAGCCAAGCAGCACAACAGCACAATGCAACGCTCGATCGCCATCAGACAAACGAGAGGAGTTCTCAGTAATAAGTTGTTTCCAATCATTCGAAAAGCTGCTAACTGAAGCTTGCCAAGATAATATCGAGCTTGATCAGGCTCTGCGCCATGGCGGCAGTCTCCCGCTTTCAGTCGGCATGGCTGCTCCTGTGCCTTCTAGTAGTAGTACTCGCATCCAATGTCCATCACGTCCAGGCTCTCCAAAAGACGGACAATGATGATGATGATGATAAGAGTCTCCGAATCTGTACATTGGCAGGAGGGCTGGATGCGGTTCGATTATCGAGTGTCCCCATTCGTCAGGTCTTTGAAGGAGCTTTGAAAGATGTGGAGCTGATCCGTCAGCTCGTAGTAGAATCGGCTCGCAATCGGGGAGATCATGCTCGTCCGCTACTGTCACTGGAAGAGCTCAGCCGGACGCTCGACTGGGAAGCGAGAAACCTGTCCAGTAGCGACACCACCATCACGGCGGGGATTGGATATGTCGATGATAGAGCCGACCGCAAAGTCGAAAAGTATGTCGCAACCGAGAATAAACCATTTGTGGGCAACAAGACGACAGACTTGGCCCTGGTCGAAAGCGCTGCCACCATTCTGCCCTGGTTAATGGACCGGACCAAGATCAAAGATACTGGAACAACTACAACAACAGACAACAATAGAACTCTCTATACAGCCGCCTGGATTGGAAGCTACGGGGAAGCGTGGCTGTATTATCCGCCCCATGTGGAAACAGGTTGGGAGGCGGCGACCACAATGGGAGACTTAGTGGGAGGAAACTGTACATCTCACGATCAACAATTCATCCAACCCAATCTTCCACCTGCCGTCTTTCACCAACCCTACCTGACAGCACCATATCCAGATATTGCTATACCTGGACATATGGTCATTACAGCTATCGCACCTGTCTATTATCACGGAAGCTTTATGGGACATGAGTTCCTCAATAGTTTGGAAGCTACTACTACAGGAGATAGCAACAACAACAACAACTCACCGTCTGCTGCGGCTGCGGCCGGAAGGACTCCTTTGGGGACGTATGTTGCCACCACGGGGATTGATGTTTCCACGTCATCCATCTCCTCCGTGTTACTGGAAAATCTCCGAGGGACCATCACCCCGGGAAGCTTTGCCATGGTTGTGGGTGCCAACCAGGAACTCAACACGGTTCTAATCACCCAGTCGACTCTGGAACTGTTATATCCTACCCACACCGGCATGGAAGGCGCCAGGGTTACCAACTACAGCAACTGCAATGCCAGGTTCTCCACAGACCGCCGTAACCAGACCTACCAAGTGAGTGATACCCTGGTGCAACCTCTCACTCAATTGGAGAATGCCAACTGGAAACCCGTGGCAAGCCTGATTCAAGAACTGCAACCTGGAGACCGATCGTTCACCACCATACCTATTACCTTGACAGGACAAGACGCCCCCACTTTCTTTTATGTGTTCTTTGAACGATGGCCGGACGTGGCTGACTGGGCAACCCTTTTGCTCGTGCCCAAGGACGAGCTGGACCATTCAGTGGTGGTCGATGTGGTGGAACCACAGGGTGGCTCGCTGTTTGTAACCATGGATCACCATGCAGCGGTGGAAGAGACAAGTACCACTACCAGCGCAGGCACAAAAACTCCAGTTGTCCTGGAGAACAAGGGCAGTCTAGATGTCCGAATAGAGATTGACAAGATACCTCCTTGGCTCAGTCTGGACGAGGAGATTCTAATGTGGTCCTTGCCAGCGGGACAAAACCTGACTCTACTTTTTGATGTCAACGTGCAGGCTTCCAATCATGGCTATTCGGGTGTGATTGCGCTCAAGGTTCGAGACGCCGACGAACAGAACAACTGCTACTACGAAGACATCCTCACAATCAATGCACACTTGACAATCGTGCATTTGGAGACTCTGCAAGCAGTACGACCTTACGGGTTGGCTCTTGCTGCCATCACGGTGATGACCGCTTTGGGCTGGTCGCTCTGGGTCCACTGGAATGAATCCCATATTGTTGTTCGGGCTTCTCAACCCATGTTCTTGCACATGATTTGTGTCGGAATTCTCTTCATGGGCCTTTCCCTGATTCCACTCAGTATGGATGACTCTTGCGTCAGCGAAAAGAAATGCGACAAGGCTTGCATGGCATTTCCCTGGCTTTTGTGTTTGGGCTTCTCCATTAGCTTTGCTGCCCTCTTCAGCAAAGTACGAAGAATCAACATGATTGTGTCCAATACGAAGAAATATCGACGAGTCAATGTGTCTGTCGGAGATGTCATGGTGCCTTTTGTCGTCATATTTTCTCTTAACGTGACGATTCTGAGCATTTGGACTGCCGTGGATCCATTGGTTTGGGTTCGCGATACTGGAATTGGAGACGACCATCAAGGAGGCCTGGTAGCATCTACTGGATACTGTGCATTCGGTGAAGGCAGATTTGCTATTACGTGTTCTGTCTTGTTAGTGCTGGTCAACTTCAGTGCTGTGCTTTTGTCCTTGATCCAGCTTTACCGAGCAAGGGATCTTTCAGCTACTTACAGCGAAGGCAAATACATTTCCATGGCTATGGGGAGCATCCTGCAAGCCTTTCTTAGCGGGATCCCGGTTTTACTTATGGTCACCGACAATCCTCAGGTCGCATACCTTGTCAAGAGCACCATTGTGTTCGTGGTTACCATGTCACTCCTGACACTGACATTTCTGCCCAAGTACTTTGCTCGTCGGCGGGACGAAGCGCTGCGGCCTGTTCCTCTAAAGGCAAAATGTCATCTATCATCCGCTGACAACAACATCCCGGCAGGGACTGCAGAAAGCGCCACTGAAGGGACAGAGGAACAGCAAGAAGCAGCAGATTCCGTCCCTGCTTCTGCTGGAGGAAGCCAACCCATCTCAGATATTTCAATGCCAACTCTTGCCAGTGAAAACAATCATCCGCAACGGGATGGCGCGATACGTAATCGCAACGATGGCTCCCCAGAGAAGCACCAAGCTGACCATGCCTCTTCATGGACGCTTCCTACTTTCCGCGAAACTTTCGTCGATGAAGACGAGAAGGAACAAAGTTCTTGCATCGGCGTTAGAGAGGTGGTTATCGATGCCGCGCCCACTCGGCCATTGAGGCGTCAAAGTGAAGTGGAAATGGAAGTGGGTCGTCCGTCCAATGAAAGGAAAGTGATCAGTTCTCAGTCGCAGGTGAAACCAGAAAGGGTCCGGAGCTGTTTGGAGACCCTCGCGGAAGGGAAAGAAGAGATATTTCAGTACGACCATGGAGTTGACAAAGAAGGGGCACCTCAGGCAGCCGCTAATGAGCTACCTCCACCTTTCTCTCATTTGAGTACGACTTCTGAATTCTCTGCTGTTTCTTCCATCTACACCATGCCAGAGATGTATCATGGTAAGAGGTTGTATCCCGATTTGGACAACATCCCATAAGCCAGTCGCACGACGAGCCATGCTAAGAGGGAAATGCTAAACCCAACAACGCTAAGAACAGTTCGCTAGGCGAGTTGGTGCGGAGAGAGGCCGAATCAAGCCAAGACATTCAGAACGCAGCACGACGACAGAGACGGGTCGAGCGAAAGCCTCGATCACAAGCCACGCGCTGACTAACAGGGCAGCGACTCTCGGAACGCATATCTTCAGTCCAGTTACAATCTGCACTGGGGATTGAGTGCCCGGACTCCACCTCGAGTCTTTGTTTCGCTGGTTTTTGAAGCGTATCCGACCGATTCACGAGCCGCTGCTGAGTGCGGCAAGAACCCATGTACAGATCTATCCTGTCTGCTTGTCTATATGGAAGTGACGCAAGGCGTCAAGTACCGGTAATTACATACTTCAACTGCGTTGATGCATAGCGAGGTTGTCACAATGGTTGGAGTGCGTGGTGGATTCGATTCGCCACGGCTTTGTCGTCAGTACCAGGTACCGGTACCGATGGCCTAAATGAACTGGCTTACGTACACGATTTGTACCTCCAGGGACGGCCCTCCTCTCCTGCAAGCACTCTTACATCAGGGACAGTGCCAAGCTTGATCGATGCTCCCACAGATGCACCATAACCAGGGCTTCGCCGTTGTTTGGAGAGTTGCAGGGTGAGACCCCCAAGACTTGAAGTTTGTCAGTCACAGCGTTCGTCGAAAAGGCCAAGCTAGCGCTTGATCCTGTTGCCTTCTTTGCATGCAGGGATGCCTGCATTTGGAGCAGCAAAGACGATGGCGATTATTCTCTCCTAGCCGAGCTGTCTGTTCTTGCAGGCAGATTTCCAATTCCTGGAGAACGCCTTCAGTACGTTCCTTGCCTTCAGATACAGTGTACATGTATCTACAACTGCACGGTAACACCCAGAAGTCTCTTGGAGGGAAATCTAAAGTCACTCTGCCACTTCTCTACATGCTTCTGTAGCCTCTTTACGTTGTAACATTGAACAGTCGTCATAGCTTGTTCATTGCACGAGGGAGAAACGTTACTTTGTACTACCGGTGGCGCTTGGAACCATTCCTCCCCGACTTCTGGCTACGCTACGGATCCTAACAAACTCATCTCACGACTCTGCACCTGAAAGACCTGCCTTTACCCAACTATAAAATATGTAGACTGTTGCCGAGCAATAAGTTGAGGTTTACATAAACGAGAAGCAAATGTGGTGTAGAATGACTTCCAAAGCCTTAGGCATCCCAGCCTCAGGCGTTAGATAGATATTCTACTAGTACGGGAACATCTTTTTATTTTGGAGGCAGGATCCGAAAGTGGACATATTTTTTCCCCTATGGAAGGGAGAAAGCAAACGTTACTTGCGATACCTAGCTAGAAGCTTCGACGACGCGAATTGCGCCTCCACTTGCGGCTACGTTACGGGCCACTTCAATCTCATGACTGTCACTCTGAAAGGCCTGGCTTTACAAGTAATAAGTTGACGTTTGCATAAATCTGAAGCATACGTGTAGAATGACTTCATTCCTTGTGCTACCGGCAAAGAAAAACTCGAAGATGCCCACCAAAGAGTCTCGTTGGCCCTTCCGCCACGCAAAAAAATGTCAAGTGGAATTTATAAAAACAACAACACAGAACAGAAACCATTGCCACATAGAGGTTTTGCAAGCTCATTCAGCTGTTCCTCTGACACGAAAAAGTCCTTCTGAACTCAAAAAAATTTCAGATTAAGCCCAAGCCGACCTTCCTTCCATGATGGACGCACGAGACGTGTCCATGTCGTCGTTTTTTGGTGACACCAGTGCCAACTTTGCCAAATCCTCTTCGACTGTATTTTCCACCTCTTCGGCCTCCTCATCTCCTGGCAACGCCTTATCAGCTTGTTCTGCAGGCTCCTCTTCGCCACCTTCTTTATTCTCATCAGTCGCTGGTGCATCTTCGCCTTCCTTCTTCTCACCTTCTTCCTCACCTTCCTTCTTTGCCTCCTCTTCCTTCTTTTCGCCTTCACCACTAGCATCCGACTTTCTCCAGAAAAAGAGTCGGTTTATACCACTGCTCCTCTGGTCATCTTCCGTTGGTTTATCTTCTCCGTCTTTTTCACTGCCTTCTCCTCCTTCCTTGGGTTTTTCCTCGCCTTCTGCTGCTGCAGCTGGAGGAGCATCTTCCTTGGGGGTTTCCTCTTTTGCCGCCTCTTCGGCTGGTGCGTCCTCCTTGGCTGGTTCTTCTTTTGCTGGCTCCTCAGCTGCAGGTTGTTGTTCTTCCTTAGCAGGCTCTTCGGTGGGTGGATCTTCCTTAGGGGCTTCTTCCTTAGCTGGCTCTTCCTTGGCTGGCTCCTCCTTGGGAGGTTCCTCCGTGGGTGGATCTGCCTTGGGAGATTCTTCCGTGGGTGTCTCTTCCGCCTTGGCAACCGGTTCCTCTTTGGAGGATTCTCCAGCAGGTTCCTCCTTTGTGGCTTCCTCTCCTGTTTTCTCACCCTTGTTTTCTTCCGTGGTGGGAGCGTCTTCGGAAGCCTTCTCTCCTTCAGTCTGAGTTTCCTCCACCTTCTTGTCCCCTGCTGCCTGCGCCTCCTCGTCGCCCTTCTTCCAAAACAATAGCTTGTCCATGGTGCCTGTGTCTCTGTTTTCTTTGTTGTATGTACGATGGGTGTTTCTACAGTATAGAATACTCACGAAAATGTCCAAGAAGATCTGTTTGGTACAAACAGCTCAAAGCTCAAATGAATGAATGAATAGACGAGGGATGCGATGGTAAGGTCTGATGCAACCTATCTATCAATAGTAACGATGTCTTTGTTAGTTTGGTTGTTGCTGACTCTCTTGTGACCTATGTCGCCTTTGTGAGCAAAACGAAGAGTTTCGTCAGAGTGGTATTCTGCAGATGTCAAATGAATTCTCTGGCATGTCCTTTAGAACGAGAAAGATTCGATTCGGTCATTGCCGGGCGCCGGGGTATCCACGAATTGCGTTGTGCGTTTCTGTTGGTAAATATTCGACTCCCGTAGCGATTGTACGTTGAGAGCCAGCAGTCCAGGGAAAGTCAGCGTTATTTGACAGCTTTGCCGTTTCGGATCTGCCTCCACCCGTACCGGTTCTGTAACTCCTGTACCGGTACCGTTAATGTTTTCAGCATCACTTTCTTCCGCAGCAAGGCATGTAGCAGAGACCACAAGTCCAGCAGCATGGTTGCGAATAATCCAATAAAGAAATTGACAGCACACTCGATGCAATACTGTAGCCTTTGCTTGCAGTGCTAGGATGGCCAAGCAATGGAGATCGTGGTTTGTTTGTTTTTGCGTGTGGGAAATTCCCAAACTGCTCCATAGTGGGTGAGCAATCTGCCGTCGTCTATTTGACTAGTGGTAGTGGTTTGCGATGGTGTAGTCTTGGACCGACCGGATGTTCAAAAATGAACTTTCATCCCGACGAAAGAAAAGGTGTCAATCAATCAGTGCCCAAGGAACGATCTTCCGTCTTTCAAGTTGACAACCAAACCATGTGGCCACTAATAAACAGATTGCGGAAGACCTTGGCTACCCCAAAACGCCTCATCCTCTAGCTAGCTACCGTACTGTACCAAGCAAGAGAGAGTTGCAATTCGAAATCTGGAGGAACTCAATCGGCAAGTTTGGATGTGGTCCGATTCTTCTTCTTTGGAATCATTCACGTATCAATTAATTTTAAAATGCGAATAGTCATAAAGTGTCCTTGATTTCATGAAGTATGTGACATCGTGACATCGTGACATACATCTATACATCTCCTCATCTCCTCAATCTCTGATGACTGATGAGACCCACCTATGCGTCGTACCGTGTACCAACGTACCCTGTACCGGTACTCGTGTTCCCAGACAAACCACACTGTTAATTAATAAAATGTTACCTGGTTTTTCCCCCACTTCAAGCCAACCAAACCAAATCAACACACAAAATTGGCTCCGATTCGATTCCCTCTTCACCCTCTCCCAACTCGCGAAGATAGACTATAATATTTCATCGCCATGTCGCAAAACCTTGACATATTCTTCACAAAAACTGACAACGACGGAAGCGAGCTCAACCCTTTCTCTCGTCTTATCCAACAGATGGATCTCGTCCGCTCTCCTTGGGGTGACGATAGCCCAAACAATGATATCACCGTGAACTCTGAGCTGGCTTGCGTCGACTTCGGTGGCCAGTGCCAACAAGAGGACCTTTTCGGACGTGAACAAGCAGCCGACCCTATCTGATTCCCTGTGCAGTTTGGTCCGTCGAGATTATGAGGTCAAAGGTTCGCTGTGGCGGCTGCTGCCCCCAATGCAATTACGGCCTATTGCAGGCTCAGATGGAGGCCAGCAGCAGTGCACAACAGGAGACAAAGAGGTGACGCGTTGACTCCGGTTCCACTTTGCGTCTTTTGAATGCTGCATGTGCCAAGCAGCCGGTGCAAGCCGAAAAAGTTACCTTTCCGTTTCGGGAATCGCTCGAACCGAAAGTACGAGACGCAGAAGACTCCAAAGCTATGTCACCACCAGCTCCGGTGCTAGCACTTTCCAAGCGTCGTCCTGTCTTGGCTCAGCAGCCTTCTGTGCTCCAAGCCCCTCAAATCGATGTTCTCCGCCCTCAAGGGCAAGAAAATGCATTTGCTTCCAACCTCAAAGTCGACCCTCAAACACTTGTCCCAGGCAGTGGACAGGCCCTCCAAGATTCATATCCACAGACAGATGTCCCCAAGATCGACGTCAAGTTTTACCTCCATAACGCGTGTCGAACCTTTACGACAGAGAAAGACGTCGTGGAGATTGCCCTCTCCATGGATCCTCAAGCCATTTGTCGCCAAGAGGACCATAACGGTGCGCCCTCCAAGGCCAAGAAGGGAAGGGAGACCATCACCTTCCTCCCTTGGAAGACCTTTACTCCTCGGGCAGAACGATACTCGTACCCTGTGAATGTTGCACTTCAGAACAAGGCCAGCATGGACGTCATGTCCGTTTTGGTGTATTCGGGTCCAGATGTCTTGCTCCAACAAGATGGATATGATCAAAGATGCTCGCTATCGATTGCTCTTTCTCACAATCCAAAGGATCTGGATCTGATCGATCTGGTGTTGTTTGCCAACATGAAGGCCATCAATCTCCAAGATCCAAAACTCAACTACCCATTGCACGTTGCCGCCTCCAAGGGAGCAAGCGTCGATGTGTTGAAACGTTTGTACACATACTTTCCAGCTGCCCTTTTAAAGCCGAACTTGAACGGTGAAACACCCTATGACATTGCGCGACGTTCCATGTTGGTAGACGAAAGAGCTCTCAAGTTTTTGCAAAAGAAACACTTTGAAGGATGCCTGCAACGAGCCCGACGCAACTTTGGCCAAGTTCCAAAGAAGAGTGTCAACACTCCATTGCCTCGTCCCGCCTAGCTAGCCAGAGCTAGGTACGCTAGACTACTCAAGCTACATGCACAATGAACTCCCTCGTCCCGTTTCATTGGATTCAGGAGTGAACAAACATGATTACATTACAACTTGTTGGTTCCTTGCCATTGAATGACATTCTGAAGAGTTGCTTAGCTGTCCCGAGCAAAGCAAAGCAAAGCTGGTATTCAATAACCTGGAGATTGCGGATGCCAACACCACGTAGAACACTGCGTAATGACATATGTTTTTTCAGCAACTCTTGAGCTCCTGGCTAGCTAGTGATTCCAGCTACCCCGACGCACGATCATCTTCAGCAAGTTCCACATCGCTAGAGTTCATAATGACACCATGATTTTGGTATGGGGACTGCCACAGCGACTTCAAAGACTTGGTTAGCTAGCTAGAGTGTTTGTATTCGCTCCTTCCTCGAAGCCTCAGCCTTCGTCACTGTGGCTCAGAAACCGGTATCAAGCAGCTCATGAGCATCTCCTTGGCTGGCTTTTCCTCTCTTGGTTGGCCTTGGTCTCGTCACTCGGTATATCGGCGGCGCGAGCGTCCCCGGCCGGCCAGAAGCCATTCGAGCTGGGATATGGGGCCCAGTGAGAGTACAAAAGCAAAACAATGTAAATAACAAATTCGACTCACCAGGAGCTAAAAAAGTAAACTAACAAATAACGAAAGGCACTGAGGTGAGAAACTCATATGGAATTTGCATACAACCAGTGCAGGGATGGATCAAGCTTGTAGCCCTCCTCAACATCTATATGAGTGGGAAGTCAGTAGCTGCCTTGGTTGTAGAGTAGTGCGCGTAAAACAATAAGGTGCTTTCTGGTACTGTAGAAAAAAGGTGGGGCTCAAACAGCAGTTAGATGCCCTATACAA